CGTCACTAGGCTCCTTTTTTACTCTGAAGTAACCTTAATTGGATCAAGTATTCTGCTATAATTTTTTTCAAAGTTATTCTCATTTTATTAAAATTACCTGACAGTGCAATTAGGTATATCACTGGATTCCATCTTTATTACTTGGAACTTCGATAAAGATTAACCTTTCTATGAAGATATTATATATCGAACTGAACCATACGCAAGTGAAAAAAAGACTGTGACGAGCAATGCTGTGAGCTTGTGCTGGGTTCGTGAAAAACTGCGTCTCTTTGTCTTTTATATGAGAATGGCGAAGATTGGACCGTCACCCGCTTTACACAGCACTCTGTCTATAGCATTAGGACGGCAAAACACAGTGCCGGGCGAATGTAGAGGTCACGCGACGTAAACAACAGAGTAAACAGGCTCTTCGCAAGTTTTTCCGTGCATGCCTCAAGTTTAATTTAATAATATTTACCAAAAATTTTACGAAATTTGATTATAGTTATCAAATTTTAACGAAGTAAAGCCAATTCCTTATAAATTATATCATTATGATAGAATCGACATTATGTTACTTGGGCTATATCGATTTCTAAAAAGTATTCATTGATTTTCATACCCTATTCGCCAAGTGAACGGCTGTCATATAAACGTACCTCTCTTGTAAATGTACTGTCGTGCTCTCTTAATGGAGCCTAGATGCCGGCAGACCAGCAACATAATTGCAGCTGCCAAATTTTTTTCCCCATCCTTGCTCGCACGCGAAAAATAAAATAAAGTCGTCAATGGAATATTACACGAATCAATGCGCGCGCGCGCGCGAGGCGTCTCGGAACGGTATTTGCCGCTCGCGGCGGCATCAATTTACATAAATACCCTAGATATGTGCGCGCACTTATACTACTATATTAATGCGATTACTGCACACACAGCTACGCGCACGCACTTGGAATGTGTGCACTTTTCTCGCGCGCGCGCGTGTCGATTCAAACGTCCATTTAGCCTTTTATTTTTTAATTATATTATTAGCGCAAAGTACGTTCAACTTATTACTTTATTACCTTATCTTTTTTTCCTCTCCGCGCTTGGATATGCCTATAAGTACCGCGATATTATATGATGAAAGTTATGAAATAGAGATTAATGATCCGCCGAAGGTCGTCGCGCGCGCTGCGTCGATTACTTTTATACACACGTACAGACATGCGTGCATAATTATACAATATCTGCGACCACTTGTTTATACTTATGATATTGGGGGGCCAAAAAAAATTTTTTAAGAAAGAAGGAAAAGGAGAAGAAAAAATCGTCGGATCACACACGCACTCATCTTCTATATGTAATACAATATAATAACGATCTTCGACGCCGACGATCGTTATGATGTGTACTACTAATGACGATCGTTCGCCTTATACCAGTTACCATAACGATTTGAATAATTATGCGCCGATAATATAGCCGCTGATTTATAAAAAAAAAAAAACATTTTTTTTTACGTTCTTAATTACACGTAGAGAGATATGTGTCGCTGAGGCGCGTGTGCGATCCGCTATGTAAACGTTATAATATGAGAAAAGGTCAGTGTTATGAGTGCGCGTGTGTGTGTCTGTGTGCGACAAATCGATCGAGCGGTATAATACAGATCGATCTGTATCATTAACTCGACGCGTTTTCTGCTGCTCCATACACACACACACAAAGCCACAGAGACGCATTATACATCTCCGAAGCGCGCGCGGAGAGATACGGAGATTTTTTCTCGCCTTTTTTTTCCTTTTTTTACGCGCGCGAGCCACGCACAAGGCCATCCTTATTATATATCATTATTGATATTGCTTGCCTAATTTCGCACATTCCCGCATTTATATATACTCTTTATGATGATGAATATACATATAATATGTATATGAGTGCGAGCCGAGTCTCTGAATGCACGGATCGCCGCGGTGGTGGATATACCGATCTCATGCAACATTTTACTAGCACAAGACCGACGCTGTATCAATTTCATCTCTCGCGCGCAATCTTCTCTCGTGGTTCGCCCGCGTTGATATTTTTCCATTTTTTTTGCTCGCTCGTGAATCTCGTATACCCTTGGCATTCATTGACGGGGGGTAAGTTTGATGAAGCTTATAAGATCGGATTGCCCCTCGTGGAATGTGTATGTTTTTTTCAATATGCAAGTCTCCGTCTGTGCAGGCGAGAGACAACGCTTTTATGTGTACACGAAAGAAAGTCTCGAAATTCTCGCACGCGCGCGAAAGAAAGAAAAAGCGAACGGCGGCGGTGGTCGGTCGGTCTTATAAGCGCGACGACGAGACCGAGTCGCACTTGTTGCACAACAACGAACGAGGCAGTCGTCGAGGTAGTTCGCGGTATGCGTGCCGTGTATAACGCGCTATACATGTCTCACACATACACAACGCCCCATCTCAGCAGCAGCAGCAGCAGCAACAGCTCGACCGCTGCCCATGCAGCAGCAGCAGCAGCACATCGTTCTCTTACTCCGATGTTGAGGCCTCTCTCGTTTTGCGTTCCTTTTTTTTTCTTCGTCTTTTCCTCGTCTTTTCGTCGCGGTCGTGCAGTGTTACGAAAACTTGCGCGAAAGTCCCCGCGCGCGTGAGAGAGCCGGCCGCGACGACGATGCGAAAGCCGCGGCCGTTTATAAGTACCGCAGCAGCAGCAGGTAGGCAGGTGCATCTCGGCCGTCTCTGCGTTTCTGCTGCTGTTTGTAAACAAATTGCGCATACAAATATCATATAGGGATCCGTATAATACCGAGTCTGAGGAGATGACACAGATATAGGTGTATATGTCATCCGTACCTATACGCAACTTGTGCGGCGCGCGAATATGTATTATATTGTAAGCGTGCTTGGAAATTTGGCACGTGTCGCGATGTCCTTTAGGCGCGTTTTATATACTAACAGAGAAACGGACGACCAGCGGAGAACGCGTTAATTTATGTTAATACATTTTTTCTCACTCTATCTCTTTCTGCCCGACACAAGGACGCGCCTCGATAATGCGCGTGTGTAACGCACTCGCTCACGCACATGCCCGCGTATACAAAAGCGTGCGCCGAGTCTCGCCGTGAGTTTAAAAGGGACTCTCAGCTCCGCGAACGACGATATGCGGCTGACAAATAGCAAACATCACTCGTCTCTAGGTTTTATTGACTGATTTTGACACACTTTTTGCACAGCTCTCTCTCTGTCGCTCGCTCGAGGTTCTTCTTCTTCTTTGGAACTCGTCTCGCTGCAGCAAATCTTTATACTGCCTGCGTACGTTTTCCTTTTGTGCGTCGATGTTTTGGCGGCTTAGCTCGCGCGCGCGCTTGCGTCAATTACGTCACGTATATACTGCAGTAGCATGCGTACGTATAGGAGTCCGCGACTTTCTTTTGCGCAACGCACACGTACTACACTTTACACTCAGGCATCTAACGGCAATTTCAAACTTGAGCGGAAAATTATTATTCCGCGGCTCTTATTATGCGAATCAAATAAATTTTATTATCGAACATTGGAGAATAGCTTACCGCGTGTTATAGCTCTCTGCGCGCTAGGCCGCCGCGCGCGCAATTATCATTTATAGAGCTGTTGGCTACTGCCGCATTTATTAGAAGAGAGAGAAAGAAGGAAAAGTTTCACATGCTATCCAATACTTTATTATATTCCGATTCTTAGCACGAGTGCACACAGTGGGCAATTATAATTGAGTAACTCAATAATGTAACATTACTCTGATTTCGACACGTGTATTATACATATAAATGCGCTTTCAATTTATTGTTAACTTTCATTACATAGTATAGGTAGCTGCTTGCTTGCTTGCTTTGCGCCGCTTGCGAGAAATGAAAAGTTTTTTGCGCGCGTACACCGCACCGATTAATCTCTCTTTCTCTCTCTCTCTCTCTCATTTGCACTCGCACGGATACAAGTACACACGCGCGCAGGTGGGCGGTTGCTAGTGGTGGAGGCACGTTTTACATTACATGCGTCGGAGAAAATTTTTGTTTAATTTACAATTAAACAATTACGATTTTAAATTGGACTCGTGGTAAGAAGTCTCTCTCTCTCTCTCTCTCGGCGAGTTTTCGCCAATACTTTATGTGCGGCAAGTTTTTACTTGATATAAGGAAAAAAAATCTTCATTGTATCTTGCACGCGCGCGAAAACTTCGCGCGCATTATAAACAAGAAAGTGCGCGCCCCGATGCCATATCGCGTCCAGCTAATAATACGTAACATATATAATGTATATCCAAGACAGCGATTTAGCCCACATAATATGCATTCCAGCATTGCGTGAATTTTTTCGCTTCTTTCTCGCATTCGTACGTTGCATACGTACACATATATATTATTAATCGGCATTAAATCATACTTAATTTCATACGTTCAGTCTACCGAATCCACGAGCAGCGGCGGCACAGGACCCCTTCCATGCGTGCGTGAAGCATAATTTTCCTATCATTACGTCAAAAGTTACATTTTTGCAGTTGCTGCGCTCCGATCGTACACCGCGCGGTAATCGAATTAAAATCTCTTCTCTCTCGCTCGATAGCCGTGCGCATATGCACGCGCCACTTTGTGTACATGTGACCTATATAACCAGGCAGTCTTAATTTTTTTTTCTCCACTCTGTACGGAGAGAAAAATAATCTCTTCGTTCGATCGAGTAATGTAAAATATATTATGTCTTATTTAATTTCGTGCAAAGCCCCGCGCAGTACGTACGCACGAGCGCTTTAGAAATTGATTACTTTGTCCGCGATCATCTCTGCGCTCGACCAAAATTCCAATTCTACCAAAGACGGAGCACGAGGATATATACGTGCACGCACTCACGATCGCCGTGAGGCCCATATATACACAACGTATATAAAAGCGAACAAGTGCGTGTCCGTAGGTGTGTGCGCGCACGTTCGAATGTACATGTACAAGACAGTCTGTGCTGCATGTGTGTGCCTCGAGTGACTATCGCTTCGTTCGCGCGCGCACTTACTGCTCTGCTCCTGCCTGTGCCGTTGTGTGTAGCGCTTGGCTTAATGCTGTGCCTGCAGTATAGCGGTAGCAACGCCAGCCAGCCGCAGCCAGCCGCAGTGTAGTATAGTGTGCTTCGCGCTGCCACTCTCGAAGAAAGTGAGATCAGTCCCGGCGCGACGCTTGAATCGAACGGTTCAAACCCTGTTGTGCCCCCCTCCTCCTTCCTGTATACTGTCCCCCATGGTGGACTCTCTTGACGAATTTTTGGCCCATTGTTCGTCGACTTGGACTTCGCTTATAAATAACAGAATATAATAGTAACCGTTTTGTTATATAGTGCCGATTTTTTTGGTTGTGCGAAAAATTTGAGAATCTGTTTTTTCGCGGGGGAAAAAGCACGCAGGATCATCGTCTGAGTTTCGGCATAAAATTTATATAAATGATCACGAAGTGAGTGCGCGCATAAAATAATTTTAATCGTAACAAAAGGCGGTGAGGGACGATGAAGATGCTGCATCGGATGAACAAAGTATAATAACTAGTGAGTGTGCACCAGAACCCGTGATTGATAAAAAAAAAAGTCAGTGTGACGAATGGATGAAAATCTCAGCCGTTGCTGCTGCTGCTGCTCTATCTTACTCCTGCGTCGTAGAGGTAAACGGCCTGCTATGCTTGACTCTGCTTCTTTTTTTCAATTGCGCGGCGCGCTGCACCTGTGCATTAGTACTGCAGCGGCTTCTCGAACATTACATACTGCTACTACGACCGTAGCTCTCTCGGTGGGGCAACTGCTCTCTATTAGGCGGCTGTGTACAAAAAAAAAAAAAAAACAAGCAAACAGCAATAAAAGCGCGCGCGGGCCGCGATTGAATTTTCTCGACACTTACCTGCTACTACCGCTCACCACGCCTGGCAATAAACATGCAGCGGATTACAATATATTATTCTCTTTTTAATAATAAATAATCATATTGGCATACACGCGCGTGTGCCTCTGCTGCTGCGTTGTATGTATTATAAGTACGTGTGTACGCGCGCCTATATATTAGGAGAAAGCTTTTTTAGTGCGGCGCGGCGCTTACTTTCTGTTGTGTCTGTTGCAGCTGTGTGCGTGTGTGTCTGTACGTATAGCAGTGCTGCAGCGTGTATAGGCCAGTCACGATTCCATGTCGTCGTGTGCGTGTACATTCGTGGACCCGCTGCTGCGTGCTCGAGTGCGTACCCGCGTATGTTCGAGGCTTTTATAATGCATAGCTTTCAGGTCAATGTCTTACCTTGAATGTATACATACGCGTACACATACACACTCGAGCACGCACATACATACGTACACCTGCTAATCCAATGGAGAAATTAATATATAATATATGCGAGTATATGTATACGCATATAACACAAACGCGTAGTGAGTGCATTTCTGCTGGTGCGTCAACCTTTAAACGCTTATATCCTCGATGATTTCGGGTTGTTGAAATCGTGGAATCGTGAAAGTTATACAACATTTGTGTGCAGTCTCTGTACGTACGTGCGTGTGTGTGTGTGTGTGTGTTTTTGCGCGCTCCGCAGTCGCGCTGCTACATTGGCGCGACGACGACGACGGGAAATTAGAAAGAAAGCTATATTTGTGCGGAAAAATGCAGTCGTCGTCAAAGGCGATCGGCTCGGCCACACGCGCTAAGCGCGGCTAAGCAGCATACCTTCGCGGTATTCGTATCGTATTTATAAAAGAGACCAACGCGGAAGATGAACTACTTATATACTCTCGCCGCATTACCTAATTACGCGCGCGTGCGCTCGATTTCGCGAATCCCATCCCCATCGTCGCGACGACGGCTTACGTAAAAAAAAAGATAAGAAAAATAAATAAACAAGTAAATAATCGTTATTGTCGCTGTGTCTGCCCAAGCGAGAAAGCACACTCGTACGAATCGATGATCGTTGTTATGTATGTGCGCGCCAAAAATTGGCGCTCGATCGCCGCACCGAATTAATTAATTGTTACGATAATCGATCGATCGATCGGTAGTCACACGAGCGCAGCCTTAACAATAACAATTTAGAAGCGTAGAAAGCGATCCAACGCAGCTATATGCAACTGCAAATTTCGATGCGCGACAGATAACTATAACTATAAACACGGCGTGTAACGATTGAGTAATGCCTTCTTTCCGATTCCTTTTTTTTTCATCTCTCTTATGGCTTCGGCATGTAATATTCATTTGAGCGCGATAGCGATCGTTACCGCAACCGGTTCGGTGTGCCGCGATCGCGCCCTCTACACACCACTTCTGCATCTTCGTCTTCTTCCGTTAAAAGAGCGTGACTGCACCGCACGCCGCGCTTCGGATCCGGATGATTGCGTTGCGTCACTTCCCTGCAATTCCAGTTTTTACTTTCATTCGTCGCATATAACGAGCAGCCAGCCGCGTGTGCCCGCGAGGAAATGAAACAAGACGGAGAGAGAGAGAGAGAGAGAGAGAGAGAATGATTGAAAAAAAAAACAAGAAAGAAAGAAATACCACGTGCTCTTGGCCCGATGTATACAAAACCTTTCAAGTTCATATATCCTATACACACATACATGTACGTGCCGAGCGCAAAACAGGATAATTGGCGCGCGGAGAAAGGCGCGTGCTGCTGCTGCCGCTGAGGCTGCCTCTACCTTTCGCGCAAGAGACTTTCATTATATAGCGTGCATGCGTATTTATATATATTGTTTTATCCGAGAGAGAGAGAGAAAAAATGTCCGTAATAACCGTGACGATCGGATCGGTCGCGTAACCAGAGAGAAAGAGAGAGAAAGACGATTTACTCGGAAACGAGCTGGATACGGGATAGAAATATGTACCGAGACAAATAATGCACGACGATTAAATGTACCCTTGAAAAGATGTCGAAGTCAATTCAAAATTACCTTATAAATTCAGTTTTCTGAAATTTTTACTAAATATTTCCCTAGAGAGCTTTATTGTACAATAGAGCTTTTTGAAAAAGTATACAAAAAAAAAACTTCAGATAATAGGATTGAAAATTCAGGATGTTTCAGTAGACTTAGATTTCACCTCCTATTGTAAATACGTACGTGTATATAATTTTTACGAAATCACTCCTCATACCAAACGTACCTAAAGAAGTTTTACTTCAAAAAATGTTTACATTTATACGAGCCCAAATTCTACTAGCAATCAAAAGATAATACTTAACCATATTTAAACAATGAACATTCAACTCGAAACGTAAATCCAGAGTAGTAGGATTTGTTTGACGTGTGTAAATTAATTAAGAGACAATAATAACAACACTGTATACTTGTTTCATCATATTTCTCGTCCGTGTGCAGCCTTAATCGACGTTTTCGAAGGTTGCCTCTAATGTTCGAAATGCGAAGAATATACACCTTGTGCGTACGTACGTACACAATGTACACATAAATGTGTGTATACATAACGCGTCTGTGCTTGCAACGCGCGCAGAACACGCAGCCACAAACGGAAGAGGTTGATTATTTTATCGTCAGATATAGCCGCATTTGTATTATTCGTAGAATTGGCCAAGCTCTGCGCTTCGTTTTTTCTCTATTTTTCTTATCCCGCGCAAGTGTATTAGGTGCGAGAAAATTAATGCGTGCACTCGAGGTCTCTCGAGTCGTTTCATTACTACTAATATTGGATTCCGTTGTCTCTGCACTGTACGCTTCTCCTTGTTTTCTTCTTTATTTTGCAGCAGTACGACGCGCAAAACTTTGAATTATAATTTTTTTTTCTTTGTGTACTGCCATCGTACACGTCATGCATTCAATTCAACTGTTTTAATTTTTGTGTTACAGATTCGTAAATAAAAAAAGGCGTGTGCGCCGTACGAAGGAGCGACGAGGATTGGCTCGCAAAATAAACATAAAAGAAAAGGAGCGCGGCGAACAAAGGAAGGAAGGAAGTAAGACAAGGAAAGGGGTGCGACTCTTTTTCTGAAAATTCGAAAGAGAGATGTTGGGCCGCATGTTCGAGGCTCACGGGCGCTTCTGCGCCGGCCATCCGCTCGAGGTGATCGTGACGACGTTCACCCTGACGGCCTGCATGCTCAACATGGAGACGATCAACGGCAGCAAGCAGGCCGCGGGCGGTGCGACGGGCCCGACGTCGGCGGGCTCGACCACAGCCGCGGGCGGCAGCCCCACGACGGCCGCCAGCGCAGCCAGCGCCGGGACCAACTGCTGGCACGGTCGTTGCGGTAGCGAGGTACATACATACAACTGTTAATCATTTGATTCGCCGTCGAAGGAGATTTGTCATGTTTTATACTTTATGCATCAGGAATTGAATCCCGCGGACGTGATACTGATGACGGTGATTCGCTGCTTGGCGATCCTCTTCAGTTACCATCAGTTTCGTAATCTGCAGAATCTCGGCTCCAAGTACATTTTGGGTAAGTGCTGTACACATTGAATACAAGATGAACTTTCACGCAGGCTCGTCTCGATGACCTTAAAGCATTATAAACACATACTCGACCCATCGTAACCGATAATGCTTATACTGCCACTTGACATTGAAATGCGACGGCGCGCGAAACGAAATAAAAAAGCTTAGCCGCCGCCGCGCAAAATGATCTATGAGGCGGTAGTATAGCGTAGTGATCGAGTATTAAGCTAATCGCCGTTGCCGCACGCATACAAACACACACGCATAGCCGCTGATCGTTCAACTTTCGCGTATTTTTGTGCAATGTTTACCTTGAGTCTATATACGGGGCGCGATCTAATAATATAAACGATATAATGAAAGGTATGCGCCTCGCGCTCTCGGGGTATTTCCGCGCTTGCATAGGTGAAAGTTTCATTCGCTCTTTCTCGTTCGCGCGCAAACTGTATGCGTGTGGTAGAAAGCCGAGTCATGATATGCCATTGGCACCTAACCGAATTGAGCGAGATAAAAAAAAAACACACAACAGAGAGAATGAGAAAGAAAGAAAGAAAACAAATGTGCAATGGTTCGCTCGCTTTGCAGGAATAGCCGGCCTATTCACCATGTTCTCGAGCATCATCTTCACTCTGAGCGTGCTGAACTTTGGACGCAGTGACATAAGCGACTTAAAGTGAGTATCACGAATCTTTACCGACATATCGTTTTTTGTAATTATAAAGAATGAATTAACGGAAAATGCGTTGTGCGCTTGCAGAGACGCCCTGTTCTTCTTCCTCCTCGTGATCGATCTGAACAAGGCGGCGATCTTGGCTCAACTGGCTTTGAACTCGAAGCGTCAGGACGAGGTGAGAGCCAACATAGCCCGTGGCATGTCGCTGCTCGGGCCCTCGGTCACCCTCGACACACTGGTCGAGATCCTCCTGATCGGCATTGGCTCGCTGTCGGGCGTCAAGCGACTCGAGATCCTGTGCGGCTACGCCTGTCTCGGCGTCGTCGTCAACTACGTCGTCTTCATGACCTTCTATCCGGCCTGTCTATCTCTCGTTCTCGAAGTACGTAATTTCTTCTCTCTAAATAATAATAAGATATCATACATCATCTCCATCGTTTCTCTCAGTCCGCGGACTGACTGACTGACTGACACTGACATACACACGGACACAGACAAGCGCGTATACATGCATACAATGTCCCAAAGTGTATTTATCGGTCAAGTGCGAGTCCGACGCGAGAGAGGATTATATGCGCCTCGCGCGCTCGCGGTGGTATGTGCCTGTGCTGCGCTGCGCGCGGGGGGGTAATTAATGGGTGAAGGTCGCCTGCTGCTGCTGCTGCTACTTGTTGTATATACGCACACGCGCACACACGCATACACCCTGCTATACTACACTACATTACATAGGTAGTAGTATGGGATGACGATGATGATGTTGTGCAAATATTATTTCGAATGGGAGATGCGTGGATTACAAAATACCACGTGCTGCTGCTGTCGGCGGTGGATATAGGGGGGAGACTGACGCGCAAAAAAAAAGGAATAATGTTCAATAACGGTTTCTTATTAAAAACTTTAAATAATATATTAAAGACGTCGATTGCGCGGCGGATCCCCCCGCCGATTTTTTGCTCAACATAATCAAGGATAACGAGAAAAAGTTTCACCTATACCTTGCACGAAAAAAAAAATTGAGCAAAAAATTGAAAAAAGAAAGAAAAAAAATCATCCGATACATACACGTATGGCGAATACATTATACATGGTGCGGTGTAGCTCTTCGAATTTTATTCGCTCTTACTTACTATATACCTGTACCCATGTGTGTACCTCCTCTACCTGTGTACCTCCTCTCACCGCGTCGAGCAGCACCTCGTTGCGTAATAGAGGAGCTTTCACTTTCACTCCTTAATACACATATTATCTCTCTCTCCTCTCTCTCTCTCTCTCTCTCTCTTTCTTTTTTCGCGCATACACTACTTACTCTACTCGTCTCCACTTTTTTTTTGCGCACACCACATCTCGTCCCATTTATCGATCACGTCTGTATCTGTGTCTACATCTCTCTCTCTCTTTCTCTGCATGTGTGTAGCTATCGCGCAGCAGCAACGACAAGATCATCATGTCGCACGGCAGTCTACTCAACGAGGAGGACCAGAAGCCCAATCCAGTGGTCGAGCGTTTGAAGCTGATTATGATCGCTGGACTGTTTGTCGTACACGCACATAGGTGAGTCAATTATTTCGATTACTATTTTTATTTTCTTTTTTTTTTTTTTGTGTTATCCGAACATTGACCTAGAAAGACAGCGGCCAAGCGACTAATTGGTCGAACGGATTTTTCGGCTGGTATATAGAGAGCTATTTAGCATTAGGATCTGCTCTCGCATTCGTATACACATACATTACCGGTTTCTTCGTCTGCTTTTCGCCTCATTCATATGTACGCGCGTTTTCGTCGTCGTCGTCGTTTATCGGCCGCGACTCGCGGGGCCAGTTAAGCAGTGACACTCGACCTAGAACCTACGCACATCCGCTGTTGTGTGCTCTTCTCGCTTCGCACCGCGTACATGTAACAGAAATAATTTTTGCTCATTATTTGGTCTTTTTTTGAACGCACATAACCGGGTGCTGCGCTATCGATGCCGAGCGATCTTCTCTCCGCCAAAAGGCCTTAAAGGTATATAACAAAATATATATATAAACGCGTTCAGGGTCAAGCGCGGCTTTGACAATGTCAAAGCGAAATACGAACAATAATAATTTCTGCTGAATGGTTTTTTTGACGGAAATAGGAACTTATTCTGCTCCGCGCTCTCTATCCTATATCTAGTTTGTCGCTCCGTCTCTCTCTGTCGCGCGCGTACGAGTGACGTGTGACGACGATATATTATGTTAAAAAATATAATACCCGATACATAGCGGCAGCAGAGATCAATGTAGATTAGAAACGGAGCAAAGGAGAGAAAAAAAAATAGGAAGCTCGTCGCGTTCGGGGCTTTGGATAGTAGTTGGCGTTGAGCAGTAGCCGAGACCGCATCGACTTGGTATAGTTGTCGCCGAGAAACAGTGATAGTGGCTGCTACTATTACTGCTCACGGTGTGCAATTAGATATATAGCTACTCGAAGCAAAGGTCGATCGCGTCCTTCGCCGCGCGCATCTGTGCCACTGCTGCTGCGACGACCCGATTTTCTCGCACGCATTCTTCGTGGTAATTTTCGTGTTAATTAAAAGAGCAGCGATACAGATGTAAGGAGAGAGAGAAAAAAAGATCGTGTACTTATATACCGGCAGCCAGCCATGCGTGGAAAAAAATAATTCGCTCGCTAGAACATACACGCATACGCGCGCTCGCGGGCGCACAAAAAAGGAGTAAAAAAAGATTAGCGAAACTCTCGCGGATCGTTGCTGAGAAAGTACATATATTTATTTAGAAATGTATCTATTTTTTTTTGTAATTTTTTTTCCTTCTCTCTCTATTGACAATTTCACTGTAGTTTGCCTGAGTGGTATAACACGCGCGAGTGCGCGCATTAAAGTCTCTCTTCTTTTCTCTCTAACTACCTCTATACACATGCTTAATATGATTGTTTTTCTAATTCAACAGTCGCTGGCCGTTCCGCACCGATGACGCCGAGGAGGCGATAGACGAGCAGGTCGCATCGAGCGTCAATCCGGGCATCCTACTCACGACCAATCGCAACAAGACGGAATCGCCGCCGGACTATCGCGGCTTCTTCATGAACTGGCTGTCCGTGTCGGCCGACAACATCGTCATACTCATTCTGCTGGTGGCGCTGGCCATCAAGTTCATCTTCTTCGAGGACCGGGGCGAGATCGCCCGACAGCTGAGGCTCGAGGAGGAGCAGCGCGACGAGGAGGAGAGCAAGCAGGACGACGAAGAGAAGAAGCAGGAGAAGGAGCAAGACAGCAACAGTAGCGAAGAGATGGATAGACTGACGAGGCGCTTCGCCGGAGCCATGGCGACGACGCTCACCGCCACGACGGCCGGCTCGAGCCATCGCACCGGGCCCAGCAGCAAAGTGTTCGCGGGACTGGTCGCGGCCCCGGGTGAAGATTGGATCGAGGTCGGCGCCGAGGCCGACGTCGAGCTCGTCGACAAGGAGGTTCAGACCGAGCAGCAGCAGCAACAACAGGTCGCAACAATAACTAGCAGCGGCACCGTGTCAAAGAGCAACGACGACGCAGCCACGAGCCCACCCCGCAGCGTCGACGAGTGCCTGGCCATCTACCGCTCGGAGCTCGGCGCCTCCGTCCTCACCGACGCCGAGGTCATCCAGCTGGTGCGCGCCAAGTACATCCAGTCGTACCAGCTGGAGAAGGCCGTGGGCGACATGGAGCGCGGCGTCGGCATCAGACGCACCCTCCTGAACGAGGCCGAGGTCTGCATCACCGCCGACCTGCCCTACCGCAACTACGACTACTCCAAGGTGCTGGGCAGCTGCTGCGAGAACGTCATCGGCTACGTGCCGGTGCCCTGCGGCATCGCCGGGCCATTACTGGTCGACGGCGAGCTGTTCCACGTGCCGATGGCCACCACCGAGGGATGCCTCGTGGCCTCGACCAATCGCGGCTCGAGAGCCCTCATGGGTTGCGGCGTCACCAGCAGAGTCGTCGCCGACGGTAAATATATACTAATTAAATTGCGATACCTATATATATTATTATATCCCGCAATTGCGCAATCGAGCTAATGCGTATACGCATACGAGGTGTACTGCCCGCGAGACTTATTAGCGATGCATAATCGTTAACCCATTTGACGCGCTCACGCGCATTTGTGCGTTCAAAGAGAGAGAGAGAGAGAGAGAGAGAGACGAAGATGGAGACGGACTAAGAAAGAAAAATCAACTTGCGCGTTCGATCCAACTCCCGCAGCCAGATGTTATTATTCATTTCACATATTATGTAGATGGACATGCCAAGCATTGCGCAAATGCCTGCTCGCGCGCGCGTTTTCTCTCCACGTCTCTCTCTCTCTCTTTTACGCACACCGTGCTGTGCTGTGTGTGATGTGACACTCGCTCACATACTGTACTCGCTTCTCTGTCTCATTACGCTCCGAGAATTCTCAATTGCGCGAGTCGAAACGAAAGAAAAAAAAACAGACGCACACACACTTATACTTATGCTGATTTTCTCTTTGTGTTGTGCTGCTGCTGCTGCTGCTTCGTTTGGCACGATGATACGTAGGTATGACTCGTGGACCGGTCGTCCGCTTCCCGAACGTGGTGCGCGCCAGCGAGGCCATGGCCTGGATGCAGCAGCCCGAGAACTTCGAGAAGATGAAGAGCAGCTTCGACGAGACGTCGCGCTTCGCCAGGCTGACCAAGATACACGTGCGCATCGCCGGCAGACACCTGTTCGTGCGCTTCGTCGCGCGCACCGGCGACGCCATGGGCATGAACATGCTCAGCAAGGGCACCGAGAAGTCCCTGCTCCAGGTCCAGCGTCTGTTCCCCGACATGGAGATACTGTCGCTCAGCGGCAACTTTTGCACCGACAAGAAGCCCGCGGCCGTCAACTGGATCGAGGGCCGCGGCAAGAGCGTCGTCTGCGAGGCCGTAGTGCCGGGTGACATCGTCAGCTCCGTGCTCAAGACCAGCACCCAGGCCCTGGTCGACGTCAACATGAGCAAGAACATGATCGGTTCCGCCGTGGCTGGTAGCATCGGTGGCTTCAACGCCCACGCGGCCAACATCGTCACGGCCATATTCATCGCTACCGGACAGGTAAACAACTCGAGCTCGGCTTATTCTTATCTCGACTCCATATTTTGACACGCATCTTTTCGTTGCAGGATCCAGCCCAGAACGTCGGCAGCAGCAACTGCATGACCTTGATGGAGCCGTGGGGACCCACGGGCGAGGACCTCTACGTTTCCTGCACGATGCCGAGTATCGAGATCGGTACCGTAGGAGGCGGCACTGGACTTCCTGCGCAGGGCGCCTGCCTGCAGATGCTCGGCGTCAAGGGCGCCAACATGGAGCACCCCGGCCAGAACGCCGACAAGCTCGCGCGCATCGTGTGCGCCACCGTGCTGGCCGGTGAGCTGTCCCTCATGGCCGCCCTCACTGCCGGTCATCTCGTCAAGAGCCATCTCAGGCACAATCGGTAATTTTTAATAACGACTACTTACTGCCAACCGTAAGGAAACTTTTATCCATGATTTATATTTTGGCTCACTTTTTTTGCGCAGATCATCGACAACAGTGAGCAATCCCATAACGACGCTCGTCAGAGAGCCTGGTTTCAATCTGTCCGTGCCAAGATTACTGCCCACGATTCCGCAGCATCAACAGTTAACCGGAAGCGATGGCTCGTAGCGATAGCTAAGCACATTTTTCATGTGTTTATTTTGTGATTGCCATTAAAACTTACAAACGAAACAAGAGAGAGAGACAGAGAGAGATAGAGAGAAGCGCCGATTCCTCGAGCGTTTGAACATCCGATCCCCGCTCTCCGCCCCCTTTCTTCTTCTTACCCGCCCCCTCCTGCCCCAAAACCTACAACAAAAAGAGAAATATCAACGACACGTTTAACTTTTGAGCGAGGACTCATCTCTAATGTTGACGCAGACAATATATTATATATATTATTACGTATATACATATATGTTTTTAACAAGGACTATATATAATTACATTTTAATGTGTGTGTATATGCAAAGCACAAGTCTTCCACAGAACGTGAAACGTGTTTATTTTTTTGTACAAGCGCACGAGAGACGAGAGAGAACGAGATAGAGAGAAAGTTTTGATAAAGAGTGTAATTGACAAAGTTACGATGTTTGTATTATAAATGTAATGATGTAAAGCTGTTGTGTATGAATGGAGCAGATGTCACCGGTAAACTGATGACAATATTTTTTTTTTATTATCATTATTTTTTAATTTTTTTTTCTCTTGTTTGTTAAAAAAAACCACGTGTATCGTGAATGTTTCACTTTGTTACAATCAGTTTTTTATAGCAATGCGTCATCTCACGTAAAGTATTAGGTAGACAAAATATAATCCATTAAAGCCATGAGCACTCTTTGATCATTAGATTGAATTAACTATCAATTGCCAATTAATTTCTTTTTTTGTTATTGCTAGCACTCAGTCAATATTTTATTTTGCAATTGTTGCAGTTGTTATTAATTTTCTTTTTTTTATATTTGATGTCAATGAGCGTACTTACAAAAAAGGAAAATACAAAAAACAAAGTAGATGGTGATTAGATAATGCGCGATTTAATGTATATAGAAATTCCGAGTGTGCTTGTGAACTTAGAATTGAGAAACTTTACGGTATATACTTGCCAATCGATTGATTCGAGTAAAAAAAATATAAATTTTTTGTATAAAATTGCTTAATGAAAGTGTAGTGATAACGAGAGTATGATATTTGTAGTGCAATGTTTGCTGAAATTTATATAATTTATGTATATGCAAGAGAGAGTTTTAGTTTTTTTTTTATAAATATATTTAATTTAAAAATAACTGTGTAAATGGATGCGTGTAAAGTGTATTATTATCATGAAGGCGAAAATTTGTGTGAAAAATACATGTTAAGCGTTTTCTTTAGTGCTGCGGACTGTACGTCTCGTGTTCTAATTTACCTGAAAAACAACTTGATTCGAATAAGTAGAAACAATTGAATTTTGATTGCGTGTCAATGAAACTAGCGATTGATTTTTTAAATAAAAAAGAAAAACGCAATGAAATTATATTAAAAAAAAATCGTATGTAATTTAAGTTTATAAGAAAATCTTACTTTATATTACATTGTAACATCACATTGTGTACGAGGTTTCTGGTATACTGAAAAATTTACATAACAAAGTACTGGATTAAAATAATAATTAATTTACAAAAAAAAAAACAAAATGCATTCCACGCGCAATTTTTCTACATTTTCTCATAAGTCTCTTCGAACCCACACTCGACGCAGCTGTGCGTGTAAGTGTCGTCGTCCTCGTTGTAGGTATCGGCGCCGAACTCGTGAGTGTGCGATGCCTTTTTTGTTTTATCGTACAGCGAACTCCTCACCTCCATTCGCAACTGCTTGACCTTCTTGTTGAACTTCTTGATTTTGCCCTCGGCTCGCTTCTCGTCGCGTTTCTCGCGCTCTTCCAACAGAGCCTCCTCCGTGCCCCAGACCATGAGCGCCCGCTCCTCTATTTGAATTTGCAGGTACAGCTTCATGTCACCCCACCTGCTGTTGTGGGGATTTTTACGCAGCAGAAACTTGAGGGGTGGCTCTCGTTTGTCTATGTCGCAGTCTTTCAGGAGGTATTCGTTCTTTGCCTCGGTTCGCGTGATCAGCGAGTGCTTGCCGTCGTTGTCCCTTTAAATATTATATTTTTATTGTTTGTTATCGAAACTGACGTAAGAATCGCGTTTGACGGATCGACTTACCTACAATCGTCGCAAGTTCTGTAATCGAACTTTTGAAGAAGGAAGGAATCTTTGAACTCTTTCTCACATTCCTGACATACAGGCAGCTTACTGATAATTGGCGCGGGTTCGGGTACGGCGTTCAGCTGCAACAAAGAGTCCGAAATTGAATCTTATAGCGCGTGATCCACGTGCTTAGAACAAAACTTGACATACCATCGCAGCCTCCAATTCTTCGTCTTCTTCAATGAGGAAACCAGCCCCACTGTCAATGACTTTCTGGCCCTGAACCTTGACCTTCTTTCCCTGAACTCCATTCTCATTGTCACTTTTAAATAAAAAAAAATCATTAAACTTACGAAAAAAAATTGATAGTTATCGGTAAGTTGAAAAAACCTGTACGTTTTATCCGGACGATTGACGACTTTGGATTGCCTCAGTAGCAAGGCCCTCTCTTTATTTTTCTGTATCCTATCGCGAATCTCCTGGCTCAATTCTTCCTTGTCACCCTGAGTCTCTTCGCTCGATAGCTTTCGCTTTTCGGCCATTGTGAGGGTGATAAGATTTAAAAAACAAGCTTCACACAAAAGACGCCAATGCGATAACCGCAGCAGCAGCAGCACGTTGGAGAAAAAATCAAAACAATAACAACAATGGCCGATGTTGCGTGATTTTTTTTTTCATATATTGTCCGGATCTATCATAACCTCGTATTACGCACAGAGAGCGCTGCCGTCTAAAAGTCAGCTGTGCGAATCCATCGATAAGCGCGAAAACTGCCAATCGGCGTTGTTGAGTCGCGCGCGCGCGAGCTTGTATAGTTCGGAGTCGCCTGCCAGCAGCATGACGCGAGAAGAGAAACAACAACACGATCAGCCGTCGTTGTGCGTTGGTGGGGGTATATCACGAGCTATATACACTGCAAATCGTGTTGCTGCCGCTGCTTATACGAGTTGGCGCATAGCGGAGGAGCCTCGCATAGACACCTTTTAGTACTCGCAGAGCCGTGCCTGTCGCGCAGCAGCAGCAGCGGTGGAGGGAAATATTATGTGTGATGTAAATAAAGCTGACTCACATCAGCAGCATATCGAAGCGACGACGGATCATGTTTTAGACGTTCGTCCGAATTTCTACTATGATAAGACGGCAACAATCTCGTAATCCAGAAGCAAAGCTGGACGTGCTCGGGGAGTCCAGGTAAGAAAGCATCGGGGAGCCAGGTGCAATCTCGCCTGATCGCGTACGATCGTCCATCCTACTTTTTTAGATCTATATACATAAACGAGTGTGTGTGTGCGCGTGTGTGTACACGCAAAGGTACTGTATAGGGCTATTAGGTTACACGGTAGGCGTGTGCACGACGAAGAAAAAAATCGAAGCTACCCGAGCTCGCGCGACCATTGGAAGATTCCATTATAAAACTTAAAACAGCAGGGAATATAATGTGTGTATACATACGTCGGACACGCACACGCGCGCGCACCACCACAACACACATTCGGAGCTGCTGCCGAGGTATACACAACAACAGAACAGCACGCGCGGAGCGAGCAGCAGCAGCTCTCTCGACTGCGAGAGAGTGCGGAGTCTTTGTTTACGTATGTGTGTACACAGTGTGCTGCTGCTCTGCTGCTGCAGCGAGTGCGCGAAATGTTGATACTCTGACCTTCGTTTGAGGTTAAAAAGCTCTCGCTTCGATTCGACACATTCGCCTGCTCTGTTCGTTGTCCAATTACTCGTGCCCATCCAATTGGCCATTCGGCTGTGTGTAGGCTTATATTATCACATACATACGCATTCTAAACACACATTTACAGAGACAGATACTTGCATGCGCGTGAACGCGTTATTGTATGTTCATTGTCTGTGCCTGCGGCGAGCGCGATCGCAAGTGTGTGCGTGTGTATTTTCTTCCTCGTTTGGTTTTTTTTCTTTTCCGTACACGACCAATATCGTACGAGTTCGTGCATTAATTTCAAATGCTAAGCGCTGCTCCTGTGTACTAAAACACTCGTATTACGTATGTACTGCGTGAGCGAATTCCATGCTCGCTACTCCGATGATAGCGTCGATCACCATCACGTTTCTTTCTATCGCCTTTTTTTTTCTCGTATCTAATTCGTCGTGTGTCGAGTGTCGTACGCGCGTCGCGCTCGCGCGCAGTGTGTGTGTGTTTTGATAGACGACGTACACGCAAGAGTCTGTTGACGTTGCGTATATTGTAAACATTGCTCAATACCAGTCGCGAGCTATCGTGAGGAGAGCTATAAACTCGCGTCAATGAATTTGTATACAACCATAATACGCGATACATCCACACAATCACGCTGAAAAGCCAAAATATATACATGTTTTCGTGATGTTGCTCTATTATTATTGCAGATATGCATGACGCCTAGCAGCGCAGTGAGAAAAAAGTGCAAAGGGAAAGAAAATCGTATTGCTGCTGGCTGACAGATTTTCTCCTTCGAGTTTTACATGCACGCTGCGAAAAAATAGCCATTCATAAGCGAGAAATCGAGAAGATTGGGATATTTCCGGAGTTAAAAACGATCGGAAGATGGAGGTCGACACATCGTTCGCCGATCCAGCTGCCGAGGCCATGCAAGAGGATAGGAAGGAGGCTGGTAAGCGAGGAAGACGACCTGGGCGCAAATCGCTGGAGAAGCTCGACCAGAAAGTCAAACTCGAGCGCAGTCGACAGAGCGCGCGAGAATGCCGTGCTCGGAAAAAGCTGAGATATCAATATTTAGAGGAATTAGTGTCGGACAGAGAAAAGGCTGTGAACGCTCTACGAAAAGAGTTAGATATGTATGCTGTCTGGTGCCAGGAGCTGGACGCTGGCAGAGTCCCCGAGGGCTTGAGGGAGATGGTGGAGAACCTTGGTACCACGGTGAAAAAAGAGAGTCCACCCGTTAAGAAAGGACAACAGAGATACGAGGAGCAGACTGAACTGCAGCTAAGTGATATGGCATGTGCCAGCACGAGTAAGAGTTAAGAATTACTCGTGTGCTTATATATTGTATGACAGAAGTCGAGAAGGAACGATGGTACAATTTTTATTTCATAATTTTTTATTGAAACGAGTTTTTAAAAAGACTAAGAATTAATTATATTGATAGATATTTTTTTTAAAACTTTTAAAAGTGTATAGTTATGTTATTTACAATAGATGTTAATTTTACCAATTAACAATTTAAAAGATTATACATGTTTTTCCTTTTTTTACTATAAAAGAAAACAGAAAAGAATACTTACGATGACTACTTGTCATCGCGTGAGATATATCATAAATGGTTATCTAATGAATGTAACATAACTTGTAAATAAGATTATTCCCCCAAATGAGAAAGGTTATTCCCGATGTGCATTGAAGTATGTATGTATGTATATATATCTACCTGTCCTACCTAAATATGCTTGAATCTTTTGTCAAAAATGTTGGTAACAGTTTGATTCTACTCTTGGTTGCATCAGTTACGTTCATCGATCTCTTTTTTATTTGAAATCAAGTTATGATTTGACAACCAGTTGGCAAAAATTATTCAAAAGTAACTTATGATAATGTGGAGACACTGTCTCTGAAAATGAAAAAAAAAAATTAAAAAATGTGTAATATAGAGTTTGTAAATTAAAATTTACTCATTGTTATATATGGTAATAAAGCAAATATGTTCTGTATATTTTTATTTTTTCATTGAATAAAACTGTGAAGTTTATAATATGTTAGTACGCTGATGTAATTTAAATAAACAAAATAAAATACATTGTGTAAAAGAAAAGTAAAAAAATAAAACCCATTTTTGATTGCTTTGACAAGCACCTCTACCAATGCAACTTTGTTGATGTGTTATAATAATAAACAGTCTGCAGTCGAGATTCTGAGAAAGCTTTCAGTGATAGCCACACGATGACGCTACGCTACTGGGGAAAAAGGCTGAATGATACTGATACATCATCCGCTCAATGATGACAACTTTATGCAAGCGCACATGTTTTGCTTACGCGATACGAATTCCTTGCCAAGCGGGAGCAATTGTCAAAATAACTACTCTAGCTCGTTAAACGATTAAAAAAAAAAGATATATGCGTCGATAGCGTTCAAAATAGCGTTCAAATTGTTGGGGTAATTTTCGACGCATCGAAACTCGTTTTTTTTGTCAATAATTTGTTGAGGAAAAGAATGTGATTACAGTAATAGAAAGTAATGTGCGGGGCCTCCTGGTTAGTCTGCAACAATTCTGACAGGCATATGAGCGATAAAGCAGCAGACTCGGCTCTCGTACAGTCCGATGAGCAAATGCAACGATCGCGTGAGGGTTAGTCACGAAAAAAAATTTCGCGTCACGTTAGTTTAGTGCTTTAGTTCGTTTAAGTTTGTTACTCAAAAGTTGTCTCCGAATGAAAATGGGCGCATCATTTCTTATGTTCGTTTTACTACTACTAGCCTTTACAGGACACTCCAGTGCATCGCTGCGAACGGTAAGTTGTGTTTCGCTTGTTTATTTTTTTTTGTTGTTGATATTTTGAGACACTTGTTTACGTTGTTTCTACTGTCATTTTGACAGATGATAATTGTATGATTTGTTGTTGTATTTTCGGTCAAAATAAAAGAAAACTGCTAAAATATTTAACATGTTTTTTCTAAAATATTTTTTTTAAGCGAATGGACGAAAAATCGATAAAATTCATTAATCATGTACATAAAAAAAATGAATCACCGTTTAGCATCTGCACAAATGTATGTAATTACAATCACAGAATAGCAGCCTATTTTCTTTGTCCAGTGATCTAATTTCTTTTGAAAACGTTTTTATATATTATTCTTCATGTGAAAATATACATATGAAAAGACTATGACTAATATACTATGACATCCCATTGACCTCAACCTTGTCTGTCAGTAAATTTCTTTATCTCATAATTGTGCATCATTATTTTTATCTATTTGATGATTGTAATGCCAGAGCAATTTATAAAATATCTATCAATTCTGTTAAAGTGTATTTAGTAATTTGTTAATAATTACTTATAATTTTTTTTAATGAAGCCTTTAATTGAAACTTTTGATTCAAACAATTGCTAAAATAATAAGTATTCAATCTTTTTTATTTTCAGCTTGACTATACATTCAATGAAGATTGCAATGAGCTCTGTAAAAATACCAAAGTAAAACTTGCTCATGTGATGGCTACTGGATCAAATGATACTATTCATTATTTATGGGATTTTACAGAAAATCCAAGTATATTAATTGCTGTAACATCACCTTCTGCAAAACTTAAAGTCAATTGGAAAAAATATCTAGCAAGATCTCCTTATGCTTTGAATTTTACCGAAATACCAACTTACACTTTAGGAATAGCTATGGAAAGAGTAAGAAATCATGATATTACCTATATAAAAAATTAAATCAATTTTATATTAATATTGTTTGTTTATATAGTTGTTTGAATTTAATGATGTCAATGACAATGCAAGAATTGACTTGGTTAATGATAATTGGGTTAGTGAATTAAATTTAAATAATTTTGATTGGCATCATGAAAACATGACAAAGTATGATAATTTGGTTGAGTTTAAAACTGAAGCTAGTGGTTATAAAGACAATGATAGGAATGAAACTAGGAAAGGACAAATTAAATTTCTGGTAAATATATTTTTATAAAAAATTTTGAAATCAAAAAAAAAAAAAAAACATGCAAAATATCTTTATTTTTTCTACAGATGCATGCTTTTAATTCCTTAAATCACTCAGAAATCAATCCTCATATGTTACATTCTGAAAATGCTACTCAAATGGATATTGTATTTGATCATCTAGAAACTAAAAAAGACTTCACTGCTAGTCGTTTTGCACTAGAATTACTTATTGTCAGTTCAACTAGTCCATTCAATGCAACATTAAATAAGGATGATACAAGAAAATTGGATGACGAATTCACACCTGGAGTTTTCGAGGTATACATTACTAAATTATAAATCTATTTTGGAAATTATTCATTTAAATTCATATTAATATTGATTTTTATAAGGTTATCGAGTTAAAGTTACCTGCTTCATACATTAATTCAGGATATCTTCAGTGGTCACCAGTATCTTACATATATCCTGAACGAGATGTTATAAATTCCACTTCATCAATTTCTTATCCACTTAAAAATGCTACTACTAATGATTACTTTAATATGCATAATTTATTGTACATGTATTATGGTGATAAGTTGTGGGATAATCTAGCCCGAAGGATGAATATTTCCTTTGGAGAAAAGAATGATGGATTTTACAAAGCTACCAATTATGCTACCTGGTATGTCTTGATATTTTGTATTAAAAAACAACAAAGCTAAAATTTAATATTTACTTTATTTTAGGACATTTGTTACTGGTTTTGGAACTATACCAGCAGAACGATTTTCTAGTGTAACAATATTGATCATTGCCTTGGGTATTGGTATACCTGTGATGTCATTGTTATTTGCAGGAATTTACGCATTAGTTCGTAGGAGATCTAGATTCAATCATGAACTTCCAATTGAACCATCTATTTTAAGATAAAAAAATTTAAATTGGATGATTGAACTGTTTCACTTTGATGTTAATTTTTCATGGGATTTCAATTCAACAAATGGGTCTAAGTTGATTATAGGCTCTTCACAAATGCATTTATTTATTTTTATACTTTAAAAATAATCTATTGAATTCCATGAAAAATAATCCTAAATTGTTGCATTGTTTGTAATAATATATGTACGTACCAAAAGTGCCTAAAATATCTTTTGGGTCGCAGAATGTTAATTTGATAAATGGTAAAGCATTGCTTGTTTTGGAGAGACTTAAAAAACTATTTTCATCAGCCTCCATTAGGATTTAAACCAGATTCGGAATTTACTCGTCTATAACTAGCGAGCCCTTATAATATTCCACACCCCAAATCCTACTTTCAAATATCATGATTCTTGAAGATCTTCGAATCGAAGTATCATATGAAAATTATTTTGATTTGATAGTCAAAACAAAATTTTATAACAATTTAGACAGTATTATGACGAATGAAAGTAGTTTCAATCTAAATTACGTGGATTCGAGCTTTATAATTTAAAATATTCAGCGATCCATTATTAGTGTTAATATAATAGTAAGGAAGTTGAGATGTTATTTTTGTAATTAGAGTAAGTACAACAATAATGATAGAAATAGTGGGGTAACTTGTTATCTTTGTTTTGTACATGTATAAAAATGTAGAATATATGATTTGTAACAAGTTTATAGTTCATATAGGTCTGTAATATTAGTAGACTCGTGAAAGCCTACATTTTGTTTCCAAGTATACTTTGTTTTCTTACGACGAACTTACAATGATGTTTATTTAGTTTTAAACTCGAGCTGAACTACGTTCAAGACTTTTATTAATTACGATATTTTTGAAATGATGTAAAATGAAAACTTCAATTTTTTGTAGAATAAATCAAATCAAAAAAATACCATTTCTATTCTTATTTGATTATTAAAAATCAACGATTTTATATTTATTATCGTATAGCATGTTAAATTGGCATAATTTTCAATCATGAACAGTTGAATATTAACTTTCATCAATAGGTAGTATTGATATACGTGAGGAATGGGAAGGAAAAAATGAAAGATATATTCGCTTAAATTTTTATGTATTATCATATTAGTATATTAATAATATCGTGTATAACAAAGCGGTAACAACTTGTTAATTTTTAACTATTACGATAATTATTTATTTATAGTTACAATTATTCATGTAAGGGTCGTCTTTTCTCGTTTTTTCAACTAATTGAGTAACAAATCAATCTCTCATTTTTTATATATATTTTTTTCACTTGAGTGTGATTTCACGTCATTCGAATTATATTTTGAATTTTCGTATTTTTTGCTGGATCCTTATTCTCGCTCTGCAAAATTGAATCGTGCTCCATCTTAAAGTTTTCCATACTTAGGCGTCGAGATTGCACACGATGATGCGCACGCATCAACACCACCGTACAGATTATTCATTTTTATATACGATTATAACATTCGATTATTTTTCTGTTTCTGCGATCGTAGCAATTAAAATCTGACACAATCTAACGCTGTCCATTACTTGATCTACACAATCTATAATGGCGTAATGCTTTTCTTTTTTTTGTCCCGTAAAATCCGATTTAACAATAGAGATTCAAAAAACATAATTAATGTACATTGTGCTAATAAACCATTTTTTACGTACAACACATGAGATTTCGTTTGCTTGGATTATTATTGAATGTTTTAACATTCCTGACGCGTGACGATACAAAGAAAATGAATATATGTATATATATATACCGAACGTTTTTTCACGCGACGATTTTTACTTTCAAATTTTTGCGACGAAATCGTCGAGCAATGCATGTAAGACTCATCATGAGAGGGGAAGGGGAAGATTTTTTTGTTGTCACATATACCGATGACGATTTCTTGTATACAGCATTTGAAAGGAATAATCGTCTCATTTTTCATATCGAGCACGTTAACATGTGCATAATCGTGTTCACACTCAACATATACAATATAATACATCAAGTCGCATTCAATTTTGTACGTGTTATTTTACCCATATATAATATTTATATACGATTATACCATGTACCGTTCACTAACGATTTTGCATACTTTTTCATCGTTGCAAATTCCATTTTCTTTTCGTGTTATCTTATAGATACGTCAATTTTTTTCTTTTTTTTTAGACATTGTCATCTCACCCAATTTACTTTGATGGCTGTTACAATAGAAAATGTGCGATAGTGGTAGGTTTTTAGAATTCAGAGTATGCTTCTTTTTCTTTTGTATGCAAAAACTATCAGAGCAAAAGTGTGTTGCTTTGTGATGATTCGTATACAAATTATCACGTCACAAACGCTAAAACTGATATTACGTGAAATTGGCGAGAAAATGTATTTTCTTTTTCGATTGTAAATCAAATGTTTATCGAATAACAAAACGAAAAACCACAGTAACTGTTTTATTCTTCACCAGCTGTCATTATTATTCAATTAATTTTTTATTTTACTTGATCCGACGCTATTTTAGTAAGTTTTTCAATGGTAAAAAGACAATTGTGACAATGACTCGCACTCGTTGACTGGACTTTGTTTTTAAATATTAATTCGCATAGCGATTGCTATAGCAATGATTTTTTGTCGCGTGAAATTTGACTCCTTATGTTAATTAGCAATTTGTCTATTTCCTATTACCCATGGCAGTTGCTTGTTCACAATACACTGGCCGACAGGCTCTGGTTGCTTTTTATATATTTTTTTTACTTTTATCGTTAATTTTTTTGTGAATTTTTTCGTATTTAATAGTTCTGCGTTTTAGAGTATTCGTACTTTTTTTTGCTGTTGTTGACCTGCTCTGCACGCCTTCGTTAGCGTGAATGCGGCTTTATTAATTTTTAAGGTTTTTTTCTTTAAACATCTCATTACTATTATGCAATACAGCCCGCATATCTATCTACGAATAATGTTATTCAAGAGTCTTTCAAGAGATTTGTTCAATAATGTAATATTATTTATTCCTTGCATTTGTTTTTTTTCTAAAAAGCCTGCAAATCGCATGTTCGGTCAGCCAATATATTATTATTTATTTTTTTTTGTTATTACTTATTAAGAGAACAAATTTTGCGCTATTATTCAAATCTCATTTACACAACGATGTTACACAGTTCCACACAAATGATTTATTTTTGGTTTGTTCATAATGAAGAAAGCACGAGAAAAACTTGCAAAACCACTAGCTATTCGGAGCATCGTACGTACTTCTTGATTTGAAAAACTTGGAAATGCATCTCGTCGCGCCTTCATTGTTGAACAATTATTTGGGGAAGTTTCGTAGTATTTTCGACGCTTACAAAGGATTTTCGACATTTCCAAATTTTCCAAATTTTTCCTCAATTTATCAAACGAATACTTCGCGTGTCTTCCAGTGCGTCGCAGAGAAACATTCGCGCATGCTAAAGAAACGCAAGAGAGTACGCCTAGGAAAGGTTGGACTAGGACCTTACGAAGGCGCTTTCTTGGGTATCGGTAGCACAATTCCTCAACGATTCACGAGAAGTCTTATCAATTTTTTTCTAGTTCCATGCAGGCGGTCGAGTCGCGATCAAACGTTTTACGAATTTGCACATACAGTTATATTTTGCGAATGTGGGTCGAATATGATTAATGCAGGTTCTCGTTATCTTTTTTTTCTTTTTTTTTTCACTTCTTTTTTGCATAGGAAATTCACCTTTCGAAAAAGCGCCTATTATTTTACCTCCTTTGTAAATTGTATCGTTACGAGTTCGTCAAATACAAAGATTATTATTCATTTATAAATGTATGTTGAGCCTTAAAAAAATATTTGTGCAATTGATTCCCTTCGTTAGATTGGCGCTATATTTTATTGATTACACGTAATTATAAATCATTCGCTCGTTTATTTAGGTGCTCTCACATTCGATCGCTTAATATAAAGATATTTTTATTTTCATAATAGCAATATAATTCGCGTTGAATTTTGTCGTTATTATTATTTTTATTATTTTTTTCAATTTCAACTTTTAATCTTTCGCAGTGCTCGATATATTTTTTTTATATTTGTTTCAAGTGTGGGACGGCAAGCAGACCGAGATTAAAGTCTATCATATTCCTTCTCTCGAACGTTAATTGATATTGAATATTCTCGTGTCAGACGGGAATAATAATCATAAGTATGAGTTTAATCATCTTTAATATAGTTAATTAATGCCTCGAAAAAATTTAGAAATAATGCGCGTACATATTTTCTATTAAATATATAGTATATACTTTTGGTGTTTTTACGAAGCAATGACGTATTCAATATATTTTTTATTGTTACTCGGAGGAATGAACACATTTTATGCTTCTATATGAGTAATAAAAGTGAATCAAAGGAGTCATTTTTTCAACTGTATGATGTACAAATTCGTAAAAAGTATGTGCTCGATGTTCAATTTGTAAAACGTACACAATGGCAGTATGTGAAAAACAACTACACGAGAGATTGCGTTTTCTCGCACCTTCTTCGTTCGATCTTCCTAACGTGCTCGCTTTCTCACGTACATCTTTCATACATACACATTATTTTTTATCACAAAAACATCTGTCGACCTTTCTTTCTTTTTTTTCTTATTTTGCTTGTACGATTTTGGGTAAACGTGATAGGTACAAGTGTGAAGCTGATTTGCTGTAAAGTTGCATCAATTAATAACAAAATAAAGCACTTATAGCTTGCTGCATAACTTCAAAGTGCACCATTAAATCTCTTTTATATTTCATAGAGTTGTTTATTCGCATTATGAATATTTTTCCAGTACACACCACTCATTCTTTATGCACACACAAAAATATAATGAACCCGCGCTAAAAAAGAAAGTAAAATTTGTTAATGTTTACGTAATTGCATTGCGCGCACGTTTTATTTGTCCAGCTATTTTTTTCTATTTTATGTATAATATTTATAATCGCAATTAAGAATGAGAGACAGACGTGTACAATACGATTGTAATTAATTTTTCCTTTTTAAATGTAACTTTAATAAGCGTTTTTTCGTCATCTCGCTCGCCTTATTTGTTTTCGCATTTCGTTCTCGCGCACACGTGTGTATAGTATTACACATTTATATTTTTTTTTATACCTCTTGTAAAGATTTTGTTCTTTCATATATTTTATTTATATAATATATCTATTTATCTGTAATATTCATTTATGCGTGAACGCTCGCGTTCTCGTAAACTCTTCGATAGAAATAAAAAACGTAATAATCAACCATTTATACGGCACGCCTTATTTATAATATTTTCATTATTTGTTCATCTGTGTTTTGTCCATTCATAAATTTCATAATTGCGCAATAATAATCATAATTCAATGATGATCGTTCAATAATAAAATTTGTTATTTTATAATAATATCGTAGTAGTTTCTCTCGAGTAAAAAGTATATATTGTATAATATACGTTTATAAGATTGTACAAATGTACGTGTGCGATTCATATTTAAGCATATTTAGCGTATATTAGTTGCAAATCGAATGTTTTTTTTATCGTCAGTTAATAATAATGTTTTTTATTATTCATATATCTATATTATCGTGGGTATAAGTATTATCAATCTTTACCATATATTTATCCCGTTATATAATATTTACAGAAATTTTCGTGGTGAAAAATGATTCGTACACTGTAGTAGGTAATAGTTCGCGGTGTAACGCTTTTATACTCTATATTCACTGGTTTATATTTTTTGTCCACGTAACATTGCTATGATCTTACGATGAAAAATAAAATGACAAAATACAGAGATGCCTGAAAATGCAAATGTGGCATGAGATCCTGGCGAGTTCAACTCTGCGATTCTGTCTCTCACAATGCGCGCAATAAACATTTGCCGACACCCTTATCTTACCCTTTTTTCTCTTTTGACGTTACACGCGCTGGTGTTCGTAATTACAGCAGACGTGCAATCTCTGATTCGCGTCAATGGTTTGCCCATCGAGGCGAGTTTACAAACGAGAGCTTGCAAAAACTGTGCTGGTGAACGCATGCGAGGACGGAGTCGAGCGCATGGATGCCCGTATCCGAGTTGGCGCTCGATCGCGTTGACTCGAGTCGGCGATCTGTGGAGGAAGTAATCGCGCGTCTCGACTTGCGCTCGAGCGCGTGACCCGCTACACGCACACCCGTACACCTCTAGTCGTCCTCTATACTGCATGCGTTGTACAGAATTTTTCCCACAGTGACCCTTTTGTATTTTTCTATATTTTTCTTACATATATTACATTATGCGTATTCGTGAAAGAGCGACAAATTCATATTCGGTAATTCTTAAAATTACATTTATACGGTTAGCGCTGCTTTATTTTTTGCTCGTTTTTATCGGTGCACGCACTCGAGCCGCAGCTCCTGCAAACGGTCCATCAGTGTTTTCGTGTGCACACACATATATATAAATTTATGTTTATAATATTATTTATACGTATTATTATTATATATAAAAAACGACGACGACGAAAAATTTTCACAAATGTTTTTGAACAATGACGATTTTTTGTAGTTGTGTTCCTATATCGCGAATTTCGGCTGGATTTTTCAATAATTGCAACGATACGATGGCCACGGGGATCGTGTGCGTATGTATAATTATTTATAAGGTTTATTATTATTTTTTTTCGTTGTAAAAATTTGCACGGTATATATATGTCTTAGAAACGACGGACTCGCAATAGTGTGCCCGACGAATCGCGTATTATATACCCTGTGTGACAATGAAAATGGAATAATAAATTTTACAGTGAGAGTTTAATTGTGCTTCGCTCAATCGTTTATGTATTTATTCATTATTATTTTAATATAAAAAGACGCGATCTGCACAAAGCTCCTCGTACGTACGCGTCGCATATAACAGCCTTGGATAAGCTACATTATATCCGCAAAAGTCCCAAGTTTAAGCTAAATGTATATAAAAGCAATCGAATGAATCGTCCCCGCGATGTGTCTCCGCAATATATTTATGAAAAAAGAAAAGAGGCACAAACTCCCCGCGAGCCATCGTTCGATGTCGATTATTCACAGCTGTGTGGTATTACGATAAATACGCGCATAATTAGCACAATCACTGTCGACGACACTCGCGTACCGACGAATCTGTCCACGATGAGGTACACGTCGAGCTCAATTCTGGCCGCGCACTTATCATCGATGATTGTCCTCGGGCCGTCTAAAGATCTCGACTTCGTCGTCATCGTCGTCATCCACATCGTCGAGCGCGACGACCACGAGCAGATCCTCGTCGTCCTCTTCTTCGTCCTTGTCCATCGCCGTCGTCGTCTCCAATCATCAGACGTCCGCACCCGAGCGCGACGCGACGCTCGGTGAGCGACTGTGTATGACCACTCTGTGGCCGTTCTTCGTGCTGAATCCGTCGCTCTCGACGAGCACCGCCGTCTGTATCTGATTGTTTCCGTTGCCGCCGCCGCTTTCGGAGCCACCGCCCGAGTGGGGCGAGCCGAGCTGGGGCGCGGCGCTCGTCGTCGGCGTCGACATGGCCGCGGCCTGGGCCGTGACCTCGGCCGACTTCTCGGCGACGGCTTCTCCGGCGGCAATGGCACTAACACCAGCACCACCGGCACCACCACCGCCATTTGGACCACCACCCTGTGGTCGGCTGTCGTCGTCGTCTCGACTGATCTCGGCGCCCGTGTCCATGTCGCTGTCGCCGAGCTTGTGCTGCTTGTGCTTGCGCCAGGCGTTCTGTATGAGTCGCGCGCAGTACTCTTCGCGCTGGCGCCATAAAGTCGAGGAGACCGGCTCGTAGCCGACCTCGCCGGGCCTGGTCTGGACCTCGGCGAGCTCGCCCGTCTCCTCGATCGCGTTGCCCTTGCGCGCGAAAAAGTCCTTGGTGAGAGCGTCGAGGATATCCACGCAAAACATAAGGTCGCCCTTACATATGGGAATGTCCATCGACACAATCTTGTACTTGTTGGGCTTGTGTATCTGCAGCGGTGGCTCGAGCACGTCGAGAAAGTCGGATAGCTGGTCGTAGCGTATGTACTGGGTGCCGTCCGGATCGAACTGCTGCCAGATCTCGTAGTACATGTCGTAGTCGTCGTCGGTGAGGCCTTCCTGGACGTCCTCAGTGGCCTGCGAGTAATTCTCTAAAATGACGGCGATGTACATGTTGATGACGATCAGGAAACTGATAACGAGATAGGAGAGTAAGTAGGCTATGCCGATTGTCGAGGAGCCGCAATTACCCGGGTAGCCGATCTCGTTATTCGGCTCCTGGCAGTCCTCCTCGTTTATTATGCCGTCGAGGACGCCGTCCCAGCCAGCCGACGTCGACATCTGAGTCGCATTAACATGAATTAATCTGATCCTATATGACGCGAGAAAAAAAGCATACTTACTTGAAATAGCAATATCATCGACTGTCCGAAAGTCTTGAAGTTGTAAACGTCATCAAGACCGGATTTGTCCTTGACGTGCATGAAGAAGGACATGCCGAATATGGCGAAGATGAACATCACGAGGAAGAGCAACAGGCAGATGTTGAAGAGGGCCGGTAGCGACATAGCCAGGGCGAACAGTAGGGTCCTAATGCCCTTGGCACCTTTGACGAGACGCAGCACACGACCGACTTTGGCCACTCGCACTACCCTGAGCAACGTCGGTGAGACGAAGTACTTCTCGATTATGTCGCTCAGCACGAGACCTGTTGTTGGGTACGGACAGACAATGAAAAGATTGTGATATTCGAGTGAGCTCTTGAGAAAGGCGATTGTTTGGAAGCTACACGTAATATACGAAGCTTTTCAACGTTCAAGTAAACCATGATGAACCTCTGCGATGTAATTCATACATTTTAATAACAAATTTATATTATTAGAGAGGTTTATCATTTGTCACATGCTTGCGTCAAACTACTCGTGCGAATGCGTAAAGAGTGACACTCTAAAAGTTTTAAATATCATTATCGACACTCGTGGCGCCTCGACACGTTCTTTTACATATTCATTTACATAATTGGGGTATCAAAAGGGTCAAATATCAAATCTGTTCTATATTCATGCATTATGTAGACCTTACAATACATTATTTAACTAGTATAGGTAAAATAGATGTACTAATTATGTTTACGAGATTAGTCGGAAAATTTATAGTATCAAACTCTATATTTGTACAGTTCAGTATGTATTATGTATAGTGATTTGTTTTATCGAGTATATGTCATTCGCATGTGTCATTTTTTTTTCATGATATCTCAGTGTATAACTGTTTTTTGTTTGGGATCGAAAAATGTTTGCTTTTTTCAGTGTTCATGTACAAAAATGTTAAAATAGAAATATATTGCCAATTGTTAAGGGAATAATAATAATCTACGTCATTCTATTATTACGACTATAGAGTAATTTTGCATTAATGAAAAATGGAAAAATTCAATGAAAAATTCAAACATATCTTTGCTCCAAAAAATGACTACTCTAGAAAATTTTTTATCAAGTAACTTACGTACTGAACTTACTTGACCATTTTTTTCCCGATTTACTTCGAACATTTTTCGACAAGAATTGACAATTTTCTCTCTCAGTCAGTATTTTTTCTTCGGCCGAGCCTACGCACGTTACGCTCCGAGGAAATTCGTCAACTTTTCTTAATATAGATTTATCAGTGAAAAAAGTGAGATCTAGGAAAATCTATATTAATTGAATAAGAATGAGTTGAGGGTAAAAGTATTATGTGTGAGAGATACAGTGACGAATTCCTCACGCTTCGCGTACGAGTACGTGCCGTAATTTTAAACTCATCAAGCGTTAAGACTTTTCCTGACGGAGAGAGAAGTGTCCGACGTAGAAAATTTCGAAGGGTTATATAAAGATTATTCAGGCTCACCACCCCCGAAAAAAAAGATATTGAGCAGTTTCTATCCTACGATTTCAAGATTGAAGGTCTCTATATAGTTGTTAAAGAAAGTGAAGGGGGCAGGGGGTCGGATAAGTGAGGGTTTTTCAGAAGTTACATGGGGTATATTATTAAAATAGGGAATTTTCAACACTCAACATCAATTATTTCAACATCAATGTAAGGCTACATAACATAATGATATCGAACAGTTGCTGAAATTCCAATGAGGCTTTTTATCCGTCGACCTGTTTGCTCTCGTGAAAATCTACATCTACTGAGATTTTATGATCGTATAGTTTTATGAAAGAGAATTCAACGTGCGTTAATGAAAGAGAGATATAATTATGGGATATGGACGATAATTATCGGAGAAGCAATCAGGCATTATGATCGTTAAGAGCTCGTAACATTGCGGGGGCAACTCATTGGAATTTCTTCACAACCGCACTGATCATTACGTTACATTACCTAATATTGACAATATAACGACAACGAAATCAAATAGATTCCAGGGCTCCTTGAAGTAATGGTAGCGCAGAGCGAAGATCTTCATGAGGCACTCGCTGCTGAATATCACAATGAATATCATGTTGAGATAGTCGAGGACGTTGCTGAAAGTCGCGCTCTGCTGGTAATGGTCCAGGGTCATCGTCAGCATGTTCAGACCGATGAACAACATGATTATCATGTCGAACTTTTTGTCCGTCACGATTTCGAACACGATCGCCTGGGGTCTCCACTGGAAAAGAGAAATTCGTACGTAGCGTACGATCGTGTTAGTTAAACTAACCGTCCAGATAAGAAGTAAAATATTGTTTGTTTGTTTTTTTTAAATTAATTATTTCTTAACTATATCTAATTTTGCTTTCCTAGTAAACTAGTCTAAATTATTATATAAGAAAGAGTCGCTCATTTGAGTGACAAATGTATCCTTATTATATCATATACCTAAAAATTGAAATCGTATTGATGATAATTTTTAGAAATTGGTATGCAGCAGAGTATTCAACTAATTTAAAATTTGTGATTCGAAGTAATATTTTTATTTTATTTTAACAGAAGAATCACTAAATTTTGCAATGACTATCATATGAATGTAGATGTGATTATAAAAACTAATCAAAATTTAAAAAATTCAATCAAAGCAGCAATTGCTCAATTTAGCTAGAAGCTTTGAAGACATAATATCTTTCATGCTGCGCTGAAATAATGTGTATATTAATTGAATAAAATTGAGTAAAAAAGATTGTCGAAGCAAGTGCAGTCATAAAATAAACATAAAGCAAAAAATCTAAAAAGTTTTCTTAATGAAATGAATGATCAAAAAATTTCACCTGTTTTTTTTACCATGATAATGTGATTAAATATATGAAAATAAACTTATAAATCCTGAGTGTTTGTGAACACTTAATTGCCAATTCAACCTAAACATTACACACAAAGCAAGAGAAGCTCGTAGTCCAAAAATTTCTGATTTTTCAATATCAGATAAAAACATTTGAGAACGGGGGGGCCACAATAGAAGTTGCGTGATATGAGCGTGATACACGCAGCCCTTCAGCTTAATAGTCCTCGAAAAATATATTTTCCACACACAATAAAAGACAGAGAGAGAAATAAAGATTAATTCACAATTTGACTGGATTTTTTATATAAAATTTACTAATCATTTCTACTCTAATTTTTTTTTACCAACTAATCATATCGTGTGTGAATTTCCTTGGATCTTTTTGAGATTTGATCGTGAATGGAATTCAGCGCGATTCATTCAAATCTCTAAGTAAATATTTGAATGAATGGTGGATGGTAAGCAATTCCATATGAGAAATTGTACGAATTTCCAAGTAGTCGCATTTAAGCGATGGGTAGAAGCATGAAAATTGCTGGGAAAATTCATCAAAGCGAAAACTTTCGATGTTTTGCAAACGAGAAATCATAATTGTTTCGGCTAAGGTTGAATGTGTTGTCCTAAGCCAGACCAATCAGTCATTTTATACCAGAGATGATCTGGTTGTCTCGTTACAAAATTGTCGAAAATCTTCGCCTAAAAAATTTTCCACCGCGTCAAATGTCCTCCGATTTTACGCCAGAGATATTGACCACTTAATACTCCAAAAAAGAAAATTTCACTTTTATACGATTACCCTGAGAAGTCATTCGTGCAATTTCTGCGAATGGATTTTACCAAAGATTTTGTTAATATTTGGAACGGATACAATCGTTGAGACATAAACAAATTGCATTGAATTCTATCACTTGCACACATACCTCCATTAAGCAATAAGCTTTTAGATTTTGTCGAGAAAAATCTTATAGTGACATGAATTTAGGGAAACAAAAGTTTGAAGCCATATAAATAGTTGAGTGTTGAATTAAATACATTACCCTTGGGCGTGGAATGGCTTTCAAAGGCTTTTTACTCCCCATCTTTTTCATGGCATTATAGTACTTTTTCTGGTCTTCTGTCATGAACATTTCAAGAGAACCACCTGCTTTTTTCTTTTGCTCGTTGAAATTATCGATGATCACTCCGATAAACAGGTTAAGAGTAAAAAATGATCCAAATATGATGAAAAATACAAAGTACAGATACATGTAAATGTTCGTTTCACGGATTGGCTGTTTATTCACCTATGAACAGAAAAAAAAGAATCGGTTATTTTCCTGAAGCAGATTTTTTATTTCTTAAATGTTGCGCAAAAACATACTTCTCTCGAGTCAATGGCATCGTTCATAATTTGAATCCAGCCTTTGAAAGTGGCCACTTGGAATAAGCACAAGTAAGCCTTGCCAACGTGATCGAAGTTCATCGGAGAATTTTCCCAGGTGTAATTCTCGGCAATGCATGCATTGCGGTCAGGTATAATTTCGAAGCTCAGCGTGGTTTTGTTGGCATCGACGCACTGTAATAATGTTCGTATTCGTTATGTATTCATAAAATGTCGATGCTCCAGAAAATATTTTAGCTCTTTACCTTGAAATATTTTCCAGCGAACAATTGGACGCCCATAATGGCAAAAATTAGCCAAAATATGAGGCACACTAGCAGCACATTGAAGATGGATGGAATAGCTTGGACCAATGCGTTAACAACGACCTGCAAATGGAATTTCAAATTTAATGTCTTATTCTCTATCAATGTAAATTTCATTGTTAGTCTATTCTATACAAATTAATTGCTCTATAGAGTGATTTTATTCAGCTAAAAATAAACTTCTTACAAAAGTACCATTATTTCATTACTTGTTAAGAAAAATTAATTATTTATATTCAGCTTGATGCATTCAAGTAAACTTAATAAGCAAGAACGAATCGAGCCAGCATGCTTAAAAAACATTCACACAATAACAATAAAGCTGTATACAGATTAACGAAGCGCTCAATATAACATTACGATGAACACAATAGACATCGGAAAAAAGAAATAGAATTTTTGAAAGCATCTACAGTTTTTTTTTACAAAGTAATTTGCAAAGCTGAAAAGAAAATGATTTAAAATTCGAATAAAGTGTGCACGTTAAAAGCAGTGAAAGTATAATAACGTCAGTAAGTGTGAACGTGTAATGAGTATAAAGTCAGAAATTTTTTTAAACCCAATGTCTCAGCGACCTTAAATTTTGGAATATCGGATAATAAGCTTTGTTTTTTTTGGTAAATATATGAATGTTGGAGCGCTGTGCATTCAAAAGTTTCTATTGCGTCATTGAGATTAGGTTTTTGTGTGCCATTATAATGTTGATAATCAAAAATTTTTGTGTAACTTTTAATAAACCCTAATGGTTCGTGAAGGGTATATAATCAATGCATGAATGATAAACTGTGTAATTATTTTTTTTTTTTCAAGGAGCTACGAAAATTCTAATACAGATCATAAACAGTATATAATTAAAATGAATTATAGCAATGTTGATAAGTAATAAAAAAATAAATAAAAAAATAAAGAATCCGTCGGTCCGCTGAGACGATGATAAGGGCTACATACCCGCATTCCCTGCATTCTAGACATAGCTCTGAGCGGTCTCAAGGCCCTTAGGGTCCGCATTGTTTTGAAGGCTTGGATGCCACCCGCGCCACAAAGCGACGCAATGAAGTTAATCAGAGACACCTGCGTTCGAGAGCACATCATTGAAACAAACAGAACGAGAGATCATGTAGAATATTGGCGGCGCAGGAGAAAAATCTGATTTTTTTGTTTTTTTCAAAAATAGTGTGGTAGAGATATTAGGTGTCAATTTGTCGAAATTTCAGAAGATATGTATTATAAAAAAGGGGTTGAGGGGGTAATGGGGGTACGGGGGAAGTTGCTGATGTAGTCCTCGAGTCATTGTAGCTCAGCAAACGCATCGTTATAGCGGGTTGAGACCATGAGTGCGTCTTTGAATACATTTTTATTATATACACCGTCAACGATGGAAGTGTACTTCAAGTTTCATGTAGATGTAATAATATCTTTATTAATAAAACTTAAAATTCACTCGGAGGCTGTAAAATTTAGTCAATCGTAAGTCCTGTAGAAAGTAAAGTTGTCCTTTTGTTACGGTAGAAAAAATAGTACTTCATATTTATTTATATGTTTATATAATAATTAATAGATAATAGCAGAAAAAAGGAAAAGTAGTAGTAGACAGAGAAGTAGCACACCACGTAGATAAGGCACACACCATCGTAAAAGTGAATATTTCAATGACAAAAATATCATATATTTGATTCATGTAATTTGAAATATCTCATATAAAAAGGAAAAAAACATTTTTGCAGTCAAAGTCCAGTCTTGAAACATCGATAGAATAGACATCGAAAACAAAGATCACAATTCGTTTGCACTCAGCTCTGGCACGAAGAAAAATGAAAAAACAGATTCATAGAAATTGTATTTATAATATTTATAATTAGATAATATATATTGTTTATACATTGAGAAGCACACTTTCCACAACAGATGTACACACTCTTCGAAAGGAGCATTCACACTCTTACCTTCGATTAATTTATTTAATTAACACATTTACATAGATAAAAATATTCAGTATAGAGGATAGAGTATATAGAGCAGATTCATGGGCCGCCAGCTGTAGCTGTGTATATGAATACTTTCGCAATAAGCACACCACAGTATTTTACAATGAAAAATTATAAGCTGAAGCTTGGCACTAGTCATGAATCTACGTTGTGTACACACGCACGAGTAGAGCTTTAATTGAGAGAGAAAAAATCACGTGCGTGTGTATACACAGAATATATAGTAATATAACAAACTCCACACGTCGTCGTAGAAGCTGCTTTAAAATATCTATATGAGTTTTTGTCGTTCAACAGTTAGAAAACAGAGAACACGATAGATGATAGAATAATTAATATTTATGTATAAAAATATATATGTATCATAAGATAATATAGAAATATCATAGAGTATACACAAAATTAACTTCGAGTCATTTTGTTTGATGTATATACTCTTGATGAATGAGAGAGAAGCAAACGGACACGCACACGCACACTCAGGTCACACACATCATCATCGTCGGCCGTCGCCGCCGGGCAAAACTTACTCTCATACCCTCCCAGCGGGAGACGCCACGCAGAGGCCTTAAAGCTCGCAAAGTGCGCATCGAGCGGAAAGCCGGGATGTCAGCGACGCCCGCCCAAATTGCAGCCAAATTGATCAGCGATAGCTAAGGATTTTTCGAGTCAGAAAAAAGAGAAAGACATAAAAAAAAATAATAATAATCATGACATGTAGCTTTGGATGTTCGTTTCGTCAGCATCGCACTATTTTTCATGTACCCAAAGCCCCTTAAAATTTTTCAACTTTTTTAATAAAATAATTGTATATTGTCAAAGGGATATATAATATATTTTGTTGTGTAAATGATACTTTGATTCTTTCGATATTGGAAGGAGAATTCGAGAGCGCGAGAGTAAAAAGACGTACCATGACAATGATGAAATCGAGCCAGCACCAGGCATTGGTGAAGTATTTCTTGAAGCCGAGTGCCAGGAACTTGATCAACATCTCAAAAAAGAAGATGACGGTGAAAATTCGATCCATATAGTACAGCACATCTTGTAAAATGGGTCTGTGTGCAAGATGAACGTCCTCGAGTGCCTGGGTAAAAAAACAATAAAATGATCGATCGTCCGATAACCAAGTTCTGTTTCTGAACGAGCTTTTACGGTACTTACGAGAGCTAAGCTGCTCGTCAGGATCATCACAATGACGGCAGTCTCAAAATATTTATTTTCGATGAGTTGAAACGTCTTAAGTCTAAGATTCGCCCAGCCCTGCCAGAAGGGCGCCTCGTCATCGCCCGCCAAGAAGGGAAACTTCTTGTAGCAGTTGTCCGGGCAGCAGTCGGCCGGATAGTCGTCGAGCTCCTCGTCGGTCTTGATGATTTGAGCTCGTATGTCGGGACCGCCGTCGTCCTCGTCATCCTCGTCGTCTTCGTCGTCCTCATCGTCGTCCTCGCCCTCATCGTCGAGCTCATCCTCGTCCAGGTCCTCTTTACTCACATCTTTCTTTTCCTCGCCGTCGATCGACGTGCCGATGCTGCCTTTGTGGCTCTCGTCCTTGAACGAGCGATTCTTGTGGCTTCCGTAGGACTTTTGGCTGCAATTTAAATTCAACCATACGTCAGTGGGTGTGTTTTGAAAAGGGATAATGATCATTTGTACTATACCTGATTGTGTCATCTTCGTTGTAACCCAAGTAGTCGTGGTCTAGTCTATAATCTCGATGATTTATAGAATTGACGTGGACTTTCGTGTGATTTAGACCCAAGCTACCTCTCATCTTTGTTCGATAATCTCCTGAAAGAGACAAAGCACATGTAATAAATGTTTGCTCGCTCGATTTTTAGCTACTTTTCTGCTAACTATTAACTTACCGTGTATCGTAAATTCCATGCCGTCACCGATGGCCACCTCGAACTGATTGTTGAGTTCCTTCACGCTTTTCTTGTCTCTGTACGCGTCCAGTTCACCTTCGGCCAGATCCAAATTCAAATCACGATCGATTCCATCTGTAATGCGCCCCAAGAGAAATCATTAATTTTTTACGCTCCTTAATCGCTTACGACGAGACAGTATTTTGTATAATTCATCTACAACGTTTTATCCAATAATCAGATTTTCCGCCGTGAAGAAAAAAAAAGTTAAAGTAGTTTCAAACACATTGGAGCGCGCTCGCAATACATATTAAGCATTTTCATTTTGTTTGCGATAGCGCTCTCAATTATAACGTAAGAAAGTATATAATATAGATAAAAATAATAAACAATAAGTAATTTTTTTTTAATGAAATACAATTGTTTATAGACTAGTCATGCACTGTTTTTTGTGTTTAATTTATTTTTTTTTAAGTGAAAATTCGTGCGGCAATAATATTCATATTTTCATTGGTAATTCAATATGGCTATTTTTATATTGGTTTATTAAACTTTTTTTCTGTGTATTTCTTGTGAAATGTATAAAAAGTAAAATGTACGACCAAAAAGTTTAAGCATTTCAGCATGCCTTTTAAAAGTTTTCTACTTTTCATTCGGTATTATAAAAAAAAAATATAATAATGGAGAAAACGTTCGGTTTAAAGTATTTAAGAAAAATTCTATTCTACCGAAAAGCAGAAACTTCCGATCTAGTTTTAATTCTAAAGAAATAATTTTCTACCAAGTACAATTAAATTATTCAATACAAAGATTTAATATATCTACTTATTCTAAGTAAAAATATGTTTATAAATCGCTAAAAGTATTCTAAAGTAAATGGTTCATGTCATCACACAGAATAATTGATTGATAATGAAAGTGAATCGTAAATATATGAAAACAAACATTACAGAGGCATGCTTCGATTGTAATTCATGCAGAATATAAAAGGCAGATCAATACAATCATCATAATGATCTTGAAATGTCTTCTTGATGCAAATGTTACGAAGAGAAAATTTTATGGAGTGTATTTGATGTGAAACATCTATTTATTACAAATATACTTCCGACTGATGGCTTGATGACCTATCATTTTTCGACGAAGGCGATGTTTAATGAAACAAAATTAATTGGTGGAACAATATTTTGGTATGAAAATAAAGTAACATAATAAACGTATTTTGGATTAATGCAGAGTGACTCAAAAAATTGATCAACAAAATGATACGAATCACAACCAAAATGAACGTAATCTTGGTGAAAAGAATAGAATTACACAAGGAAAAAAAATCACAACTCGTTGTCAAGATTAATAATGCCGTCAAAAAAGAATAAGCTAAGATCTCAAAATTACGATATATTTATAATATATGTATAGTCGTATGGTAATTTGTAAATAGATAATTTTAATTTAACTACAATAGCGCACACAGCAAGCAATCTGATATGGATATAAACCTTCTTTCCAACTGTTGGACGGTGCCTCACCTGGCGCCTGATCGGATATCTGATTGGTGAACTTTGCCCTGAGCGCGTTAAAGGCCCTCTTGAACAGATTCTTTATGCTCATCTTGATCCAATTGATGAAGCGAGCGATCCGATCGATGGCCTCGGCGATCTTGTTGGTGTCGTTGTCGGCAGTGGGCGCTGACAGATTCGAGCTTCCGAAATTGCTCAAAAGCAACGCCAAGAAAAGATTGAGAACCTGTCGTTTGGGGGTAACGATTTTTTTTTCAAAAGCTCTAAAATCATGATTTCATAAAGAAACGTGTACTCACGACGAGATTGCCGATGACGACAGTGGCCAAGAAGAACGGGATGCAGGAGACGTCGCCGACTCGCATGCAGTCCCACATGGACTCGATCCACTCACCGCACAGCACTCGGAACACGATCATGAACGAGTGCATGAAATCCGTGAAATTCCACCGGGGTAACTCGCCGCCCGGAAACCGATCCACGTTGTCCGTGTAATTCTTGCCGAACAGTTGCATGCCCATCACGGCGAAGATGAAGATGATGATGCACAACACGAAGGTCAAGTTACCGAGGGCGCCAACTGTTCTGCCCATGATGGAGATCAGTAGATTCAGCGTCGGCCACGACTTGGCCAGTTTGAAGACTCGAAGTAAACGGAAGGAGCGCAAGACCGAGAGACCTTGAACGCCCTCGAGGCCGAGCTCGAGCAGCGACAGTGCCACAATGATGAAATCGAATATGTTCCAGCCCTCTTGAAAGTAATACTTGGGGCTCATGGCGATGAGCTTGAAGCTCGCTTCGATGCCGAAAGTCGCCGTGAAAAACTGCAACGAAAAAAAGAAAAATCAATGAGACGTGAAAAAAGAAAAGAGACTGTAATATAGGATAGCAGGTGTGAGTATAAAAATCGAGGTGAAGCGTGGCCTTACGTAGTTTCCGGACTTGAGCACCCTCTCCATCTCGCGGTCCATGTCATGGTGATCGAGCGCCATGAACAGGGTGTTGACGACGATGCAGAGGGTAATGAAGAGCTCGACAAACGGATCGAACACGATGAAGGCCACCCACTCCTGGAACTTGAGCCAGACCCAGCAGCAGTCCCAGACGCAGAATATGTCGATGCAGCGCAGAAACAGGGCCAGAGCCTTCTCCTTGAACGTCGGGCCCTCCTCGTCGTCGTCTGTTGAAAAGTAATAGATCGATACTGCAGGTGTGGACGCACCGCGCACAGGATCGTATGATATCGTTAGTTCAGTTTCGTTCCAAGAATGCACCACATATTTTTTGCTTTTCCACACAGCGAGATGTGTAATAAGAGACTCGTTGAATTCGATCGTTCAAGAGTCGTCGTCGAGAGAGAATGTTAATTAAAGATTCACACTCGACGTACAATTGTCAAAACGAGCGAATCAAAAGTATCTCTCAGTTACTCGCGAAACAGTTGCTGATAAATGTAGAGAAAAATTAAACATCACAAAACTCACATGGATATCGTGCGAAAAAACACATTGTGGTGAATACATTGTTTACAAGAGGTGCATTCTTGCAAGCTGCGACTGGTTTATAGGTCACGCGCTTTGCAAGTGATTATAATATATATATAAAACACAGTCGAAGGTAGAGAGAGAGACCTGAACTCTGACACAATACAAAATTAGTATCAAACACGTGTAACGTAAGGTCGAAACCCCGGTGATAAAAATCTATTATAATGAGTGCACAGCCGTGCGCCATATGGTCGTCATTATTATTATTATTATTATTATTATAAAGTTTCGATAAATTACCTCCTTGATCAGATGTGCGACTTTGCCGACCAGCGGCTTGTTCGATGATATCGTTTAGCACCATTACATCTGGAAGAAAACACAAGGAGGGTCAGAGTCAGTTAGTAATGAGATCGGTATCGCTGATCGGTACGCGTGTTTTATAAAATAAAATATACGGACCTTTCATGTCGACTACGGCGTGCTGTTGCGAGGGTTCTATAAAAGGATTGTCTTGATGTGTCTTGACTTTGCCCACAGATTCGTCGGTATCGCCTTCCTGCAATCGTATACATAAGTACGTTAGATAAAAATTGTCATTGTAAAACACAAAGGGGTACATTTAATTATACTAACGTAAGCATGATGTTTGGGCATAGCCTCGGCGGCGGCCACACCAATAGCTGCCGTGGCGGTCGCTGCAGCCGCCGCGTGTCCGTTGACCGAGGGCGGCCTCGTGGATCTGCTTCGGAGCTTGCTCTCCTTGGTCATGCCGCCCAGCAGATCGCCGTGCGACGTGTACGACAGCCTCGAGGCGTGCGACGTGTAGGACGAGTGTCGCGAGCCCAGATTCGTGTAGTAGACCGGCACGATGATGGCGCCGTTCTCCTCGGACATGGGTGTGACGGCGTTGGAGTCGTCCGCGTAGGGCAGATGCTCCTGGGCGTCGAGGTAGGTGGAGAGCACCAGAGGTTTGCGATCGCCCCCGGGCGCACCGACTAGACGGCCACGACCGTTGCGTATGGTGTACTGGTGGCTGCCGCGACTCGAGCGTCGAAGATTGAACGGGGAGCCAGGTAGACTGAGGCTGGCTTGCGAGCAGTGCTGTTTTTTTGTTTTTTTTTTAATGGTAAGAAGCAATTAATCATGATGATACTGTACATTGAAAATTGTAGCTGCGTATGAGCGTCGAGGATGCTTTGATGTCGCAATCATACACAATTATTTGGATGTGGAACGTAACATAAATAACATATTGGATGAGAAAAAAAAAACGAGAGACTATTAACACATACAGGAGGTTGGGTATTTTATATCACATTAACGACCGATAAACAGGGGTGAAATAAAATCCAGTTGGACAAATAAATAACGTTAAGGTGTCACATAACTGCCAAAAGTCCATTGATTGAGAAACGTACCTCTCTCAGGCTTTCCTGGTAGGCATAAGCGAGCTGGCCGTTACCAGAGCGAGCGACCTTAAGAACAAAAAGAACAGAGAAAAAAGAGACATCACCGACCCGTTTCAGCATATAGTTTTCCTTTAGGTATATCGTGTGTGAGCTCTCAAGAGGAGCTCATATAAATTACTTTTGTTACATTTTATATACACACATAAAGCGTTGGTAATTGAATATCTAAATTAAAGATACATTGTAATAGGCCTCGAAATCCTTTGCACGTGGACTGCTTTTTCTCGTGCGATTACAGGGAGGATCAAAAAATTCACACACATCAAATATTCATGCGAGCGTCGAAAAATCGAAGGAGAAAGTACTCGACTTTTCCATTAGTACAAATTACAAAAAAAAAATTTACGGCTCGTACGGCATGCTTGTTCGAGAGCCAGTCATCGATTTATACGTAAAAATTCATTACTCGAGGAGGTGAGAGGGAAATTTGAAAACTAATTCCATACATTTGATATTTGTAACAGAACCATGCGAAAAGAATCCAAGTGACTATTTGTTACATGAACTGCTTTAACAGCTTCCGATATTCTACACCAAAAGAGAAGGTTGGTGTTACCGAATTCTAAGAGATATAATATCTATTTGACTTCAGAAAAAAAAACAATCGATCACGTTGCGGTGCAAAAGAAAGATTTTTTTTTCGGCGAGTGCACATATTATATAAAACTGCATAATCGTCGTCGTCGTCGTGGTCGTCGTCGTCGCAAGAGTGCACGAGCACTGGCTCGATTCGAGCTAAGTAGTAATACATAGCGAGTGACTAATTTGCCTCGACTCGACTAAACCGCCCCCGCGCGGGCGAACGTATGCGTGTGTTGTGTGCAAGTACGTGCGCCACGTCGAAAATGATTTCGATTGTGCTCGCTATACCGGCTCTATGCACCTCTGCGGGTGTATGTGTTTAGATTATTACGTTACCGCTCGTGTTCGACGCTCGTTTTCTTGCGTGAGAGTGTATACGTGGAGATTTAATTGGCGCCCGTTTGCAATTTAAATCCAATGCACACACACGCGCGCGCGCGAGCTCGTGTAGCTGTAATGTACACACAGATCGAGTACATTCTAGATCTCGAAATAGAACCAAGGGAATATAAGGAGGAAAACGCCAAGTGGCCTCACAGTCTACTGTACATATACGAAATGCGGTTAAAGTACATCGCATGCACACATCGATGAGTGATCAATGGATTGTGATGTATGCGAGAGAGATGATCTCTCGAGGGAGAGCCGAGAGAGCTGCAATAATAAGACTCACCGCGCTGACTCTGCGCACTTTGGTGGTCGCCGCGGCCGTGACCGTGTGATTGTTGTTGCCGCTCATCTTGATCCTCTGCTCGCTCATCGACTCGACCGACCTGATGCTCATGCGCTCCTTGTTGTTGTCGTCGTTGCCCTTCTCCTGGCCCACGAACAGCTCGTAGCTGTGGCACGAGAAGTCCGACGGCGACTTCACGAGGGCCTGAGCCGCCGCCGCGGCTGCAGCGGCTTCTCGGGCCTCGGCGTGAGCCTGCAGCTTGTTCTCGCGGGCTATCGCCGCCTCTTCGGCCTCTCGTATGGCCGCCTCCTCAGCTGCTTCCTCCTCCTCGGCTTTCTTCTGCAGCTCGTCGTAGGACATCGCGACAATGGCGAGGATCAAGTTCACGAGATAGAACGAGCCGAGGAAGATGATGACGATGAAGAAGAGCATGTGCCAGGGCCCCGCGGACCGGAGCACCAGCTGGTAGAGATTCTCCCAGTAGTCCTGGGTCATGAGACGGAAGGCCGAGAGCAGGGCCCAGCCGAACGTGTCGAAGCTCGTGTAGCCGTAATTGGGATTGTCGCCGTAGCCCTGCAGACACGTGTAGCCTGGTGGACATTGCCTGCGGACGAAAAAGCGATTTTCAATTTTGCCCTTATTTACCTCTTAAAAAAATTGTTGAATACTCACCCTGCTCCAGATGAATTACCACAGAGAGGATAGTTGCCCGCTTCATCCATCCCGTACCAATTCGCTGTAAAAAAATAACGTTTAGAGCAAATCCGCACGACGCGTCATACGAAGTCACAAATTATTGTACTCACTGTCGTTGCTGACGAATCTCTCCCAGTTCTCGGCTGTGAGATTGCCCCAGGAGCCGTCCTCGGGAAAATTCTTTATACACTTCTGCGTGAGGACCCCCATGTAAATTTGAAGGCCCATCAGCGCAAAGACGGACAGGGAGAACATCGTTAAGATTATCACATCGCGCAGATTCTTCACTGACTCTATCACAGCTCCGACGATGGTTTTGAGACCTGAAAGCAGAATTGCGGGTGACGGGTCGCTGCATTTTCGACGAGGATTTATTCGTGGTTATACGTGAATTTTAATTTTTTCCGAAATGGGACTGATAGCGTTTTATTTTTCATTTTTTAAATATCTGTTTTACAATGAATTCAAGTGATGAGCGTTGTACATTAAACTACTGAAATTTTTAAGCAAAATAAATGTCGTCAACAAGATTTACAAATTACTAAAATAAAAAAAACGTTTTTAAATATTAATTAAAATCGACTATGAAATATAATCTACTTTTTCTTAAATGTTGATAACTAATTTTCTAAAGCCATACCTGGTACAATAGCGACAGTCTTCAAGGCTCGGAGGACTCGAAATGTCCTGAGAGCTGCAAGGTTGCCTAGATCTATTCCCATCGTCACATAACTGCAATACACCCGAACAATACACACAAATTACAGGCAGTTCAAAACACAATCATTATTGAAAATAGGACAGGTGATGAAAAAAAATGAAATGAATTTTTTTTCTGATGATTTTTTCAATAAAAATATGTGATTCAAAAACTTGAGAGATACTTCGGCTACAAAGTTCTATGTAAAAAATTGAACAAAAAGTAAATTATGTATTATAAAAATGTCTATAGTCTCCTATGAAAGAGTAAACGCAAAATTCGAACGCATAAGTGGTGTATAAACAGGAGGTACGGGCTAGAGAGAAATCAATCATAAATTATTCTCCTAATATTACAACGGGGTCAATATAAGTAAGACGACATGCATTCACGCGATTTATGAAAATCAAATGAAAAATTACTTGAAATTCTCAATATTTTAAATGTTTGTTAATATCGTTCTATGTTCTACACTAACGCGACGTGATAATCACACACTAATGCATGTTATGTATGTATTAAAATTTGTCAAAAAGAAGCATATCTAAAAACACGTCGAATATTATTTATGTTTATTTTGGATATTATTAATTTTTGTATATCACTTGATGATTCATGAGCTTTGAATAATTCAATTACTTAACACACTACAAATGTATATGATCCTAATGGTGCATAATACACTCTCGTAATTGATCTTTCCTAATTATGTTACTCATAATCAACTAATGCATTAACTATGTATGTATATTATTATCATTTTTTTTAAATTTTACTATAAACTACACATTGATGTCAATTTTATCATTAAAACTCTCTATGGTCTGACCTAAGTTCAAATGTAAAATACATGTATCACTTCGAATAAACGAAATGAATTCCAAAAAATGTAATAGAAGTGAATTAATTCTGCCCCTCTAACTAACGAGCAGAAGTTTTAATAAATGTAAACAGTTCATCACACTTATAAAAGACAAATACATAGAAATATTTGTTAACTTTAATATATCATACACTCTGATCTCGAGAGAGTGTGTGTGAGCGAGTTCCCTTGTCATCCGATTAAGGCTTATTAATAATGCGACGGGGACACAGTCTTCGTCAGTCTAAGTCGTAGAAATTTTTATTAGACAAATTTTTGTTGTATTATCAATAAGTAAATGAGAGCAATGAAGAGATTGTAATGCAATTATCATTAATTATCAATGAGAAAAGACAGAATTATTATCATCGAGTCGCGGCGATGATGTATACTCACGCTAAAGCTATAACTACGAAGTCGAGCCAATTCCATGCGTCACGGAGATAGGTGAACGGCTGGAGGATGAAGCCTCTTGCCATCACCTTGACGGCCGACTCGAATGTGTAAATGCCCGTGAAGATGACTCTGAAAAGTTGAGGATTCAAAATTATTTATAAAAGAAGCGAAATATACAATAGCTTTCGACTGTTTTTTATTGGAGACTATACTGACTCGGTCGACTCGATCGTGGGCGTCGTCGGCATGATCATAAGCACGCAGTTGCCCAGAATCGTGGTGATAATGAAGAGAGAGAATAGGGGATGGACCAATATGTAAATGGCCGTTCGTCTGATCGGATTGAATGGGTCGAGTATGTAGAGGGCATCAGTGGCGGAGAACCTGAATATGTCCTTGCCTTTACTGACGACCACGAAGGTCTGAGAAAAAAGATAAAAATTTTAATTAGATATCGTAATTTTTATTTCTTGTTTATTTTCATACTTACCCTTTGATTGTGATAAAAAGAGTCAATATCTTCAAGAGGGACGGAGGCCAACTCGGTGGGAAAATCGTTGTGCATTCGGACCGGGAGCGGACCTCCCTGCTCGAACATCGGATCGGGTTGTGGGCCTTCATCCTCGTCTTCGTCATCGTAACGTATCTGTGGGGTTGGAAACGATACACAAAACGTTATGAAAAGTGTCACAGCTTCTCACAGCTCAGTCGGCAATCGGCGAGGATTAGAGTAAACCCGAGGAGCCGAATTTCATATTAATAATATAATAATGTAAAGTATTGTGCTGAAATTTAGTTTTTAAAAATATTATGCAGGTGTATAGAGAAGCAGATAGCCGTTCGGAAGCGACGAATTATTAAAAATAAGCGCCCTTGGGATAAACTTTCTGCTCTCTGAACCACAGTATCAATTCTGCATATTTTTTTTATCGTTTCATCAGTTTTTTTTTTTTAATCAAACAGCTCCTCGTTTCTTGGCATGTAAGATATAATATTATAATTTAATCATGATATACTATTATTGATAAGTATTCGATTGTAATTTATTATATAAGATATATAAATAACTAAGACTAAAACCTAAGATCTCAACACGATGCAGCTGCGTGAGCAGTGTCAAATCGAACAAAACATCCCGAGGCACCTCAAGCCGCAGCTAACTATCTATGGTATAGCACAAATCATTCGGCTCTAACGTTTCACAACTCCACTTGAAGCGCCTCCAGACAAATTCGGAATAAATGCGAGAAAAATTCATGTGTTTCATTGATTAAAATTGACTTTTAATCACCTGCGGTCTACATGTGATTTTTGTTGTTTATCAGTATAAGTCGGTTCATAGAGTGTAATTGTCGGGTCGTTTTGCTGTTTATCGTTTGCAAATAACATCGAAAATTGAAAAATGACAAAAAATTTAATAATAAGAAAGAAGAAAAAAAGATAGAAAAAGGAAAGCTAATCGTTCTCGTCTAGGAAAACTTTGTATTCATGTAATAGCATGTTATATAAATATAGAAAAGATATGAAAAATGCATGTATAGAATGTATGTATATTGGCATGCGCGCGCAGGTGTATTTTAATTGAACTCTTACGCGCGCGCGAACCGAGGGCTTGTTTTGAAAATATACACAATTTGCACGATTCTTAACGCGAAGGTCGTACAGTGGTACAACACGTTAGGTACGTACGTGTACGGGTACAACACGTTGCGGGTCGAAAATCGAAACTTAATCGCGCGACATCATCGACGAAATGGACTCGCAATTATTGTGTATTACAGTCTTTGCAAATGTGCAGTTATAATCGTACAATATAATCAATTCAGTCCTTCAAAACTAGGCATACACTATTCGTATACATATCGTGTCGGTGTGAGAACGTGTAGTGGTGAATGAGTGTACGTATGTATGTGTGACGAATGTATATGAGAGTAAAGTCGTATATATATATAAAACGTAGGTGTCGATCTATCAAAATACATGTGTACTGCATGTATACCACATTATGATACGTGTGTTGTTGTGTTGCTTCACTTTTTATTCACAGAATTGTCTTTTTTGCGGATAAAAATAAAACTAAATACAGTAACAAACGAACTCGTTCTATTCTAGAGTAAAAAAAATTGCCACTATTTATTAATAGTCTATTTATTAATACGATATCTTTTTATAACTATTGTAAAAACTATATATTCTCCAAAGCTCAAACGAAGAATTGTGTAGGCTTCTTCATTTCACTTTCTCGCTGCACACTAGTGTCCGTTCACTACGTTTTGTTTTTATTATATATTTTTTTTATTTTGTTTTTATTTTAACGTGCGTGCTAAAATTTGTAATATATATATCTCACTCAACGCTCTATATTCTATTGATATAATGAGTATAATATTATGCGGTAATACAGTTTCGTGTTCAACGTTTGCGTGTGTGTTACAAGTTACCTTGGGGATATACGTTACAAAGAAAAAACAGTAGAGGAAAAAGAGATGAAAAGAGGAATTGATTTCGGGTCAGAGAAGTTGTTAGAGTGTGTGGAAAGATTTATATACTACACATCGAGAAAGGATATAATTGTCGGGTTGTTTATAATGTACATTGTGTCTTTGCTAGAGAGAAAAAAAAAATTATCAAAGCACATGTGTCGTGTTCAAACGATAAGTATCTTGCAAAAGCTCAGCAGCAAATGCGGCATTCAAAAAAGCACGTCGAGCTAGATTAAAGCAGCGCAAAAAGCGTGATTCTCATTTTATTATATATATTATATAAGCGATCAACATCAGCGTAACAGAAACTTGATTGTGCAAACAAAATTTGTCACTTTCTTTCTCCTGATTAAAAAATTGGATCAGAAAAGTTTCGAAAATAAGATTAATAAAAGTCGGAGGCGGCTTAATTGATTGTCCTCTGCCGGTGCTGATATTGACGCGCTTAAATAAAGAGAGAGATAGATAGATAGAGTAGCTGTGCTATATCTACGCCATAAGCAAAAGATGCACACAGCATGAAGTCTGCTAGAGAAGAGGTTTAAAAAAGCCGTGACGTTCTTAATTTTTTTTTTCGTCATCTCATTAAAGTGTAGGGAGCAAGTATATAGGCAGGTTATTGGGAATGCTGTTGTTTTTGGTTACTTAGCACACACAAATGGCGCAACATCTTACTTCTTTTTTCTTTTTCTTCCGTCCATAAATTTGCTGCAATTGAAGAAATGGAGAAGAATGTCGTTACATAAAATACAGAAAACACACAAGGCTGATAAAGAGTGATATTTAGCAATAAATAAGGTAATGAGTAGATAATAGAACTAAAATATAGCTATAATAGTATGAAATGATCGGTCTCAGATGATGGATAAGAAACTTTTTGTTGAAAATGGTAAAAAAAAAAAAAAATTTACGTACTTCGAGCAGTAATACTCATTCTTTTGTAGTATGTATATAGCGCAATATCATTACTAAATTTAACTAAAAAAAACAATATATACTTGCTAGCAAGAGCTGCTCTCGATAGAACTGAAAACAACATGTATATTTTTTTCTGTGTCAAACGCACTGTAAGCTTGCAAAAGATAGAGAGAAAGAGAGAGAGAGGAGAGAATAGCTCTTGCTGATATGCATGTCAACTCATATTTATATATATAATATTTATCGAAAATACACATTTTATACAGATAGAGTATGTAATAGACATAGCAATGATAGTTTTTTCTACACCGATTATATTCATAGTTTCAGAAAGTCGTAGGTTTATTATAATATATGAGTTTCAACTACATCGATTATAATATATATGCACACACTCGAGAGATAGTTTTCTTGCAATTTTTATGTATAATATAAGTAGAGAAAAGAGAAGAATTTCACGGAGGAGTTTTCAGTTGCAAAACCAATAAAGTAACACACACACACGCACTACATATAAACTAAAAAAAGGTACCAGTTTTCAGTTCTGTGTATCATATATTTATATATATGGTTATTAATATGATAAAAGAAGGCAATCAAAACAATTCAAATGCAGTATCGAGTATATAGAAATCGATTTCGTTATAAAGAGTGAAAATTGTCCGCGCGTGCTGTACAGAGAAAAATTCATGTCGTGGAAAGATTGAATTTTGCGTTATCGTTATTTTCCTTCTTTTTTTTTATTTCTTTGTTTATTCCATTGATTATATTATTATATATACATGGATCGTGTGTGTTTTGACGATGTGCGTCGAATGATGAATTGATATACGCATGAGGCGAGTAACGGCGCGCTTTTTTATACGTACATAATTCAATTCTGCGTATTATGTGACGGCGCTTTTTTCATTTCACACCCACGTACCTGATGTAAATAAAAGGTCGGGGGTTTTAAACGATACGTGCAATGATCGAAATTTACAGAGTAGAGAGAATTGCGTTATAGGTGTGACAATGATGGTAAACAAAAGAACAATAACACATCGATGCGTATGTAACCGTGTATTGACCATTGATTTTTTTTGAAATTGTAACACCCGGATAGAAATGATCCACATTAATATTGGTCTGTTGTTTAAAAATATTTTACAATATATAACCAACAATTGGCTTGTTATCGGCAACTTTTCCTGTTATATCGTCGCCTCAGCGCAAGAACCGCACAAATAAACTCAAGTGGCAAAAAGGTGCCTTAATCCTATCCTTTTAACATAGGGATAAGGTTGTTTTTGCCCCTTAAGTTTATTTGTGCGGTTCTTGCGCTGGGGCGACGATATTATGTTACTATTATTAAGCTCATTTCAAATGACCTGAAAATTACAATTTTATTATTTCAAAAATTTAAATAGCTTTAATCTACTTCGAATACGATAATACCGCTAGATGGCGAGTACCTTTAGCTTTGAATCTGCAAGTGGAAAAGTCAAAATAATTGTATAAGTAAAAGCACAGTTTAGGGAAATTTCTATAATTCATGAAACGTTCATTATGAAACTTTTTTGTTGACCAAGAACTGACCATAAAATGTTGAGCATTTCTAGCTGGGCACTTACAACGTAAATATATATTAGGTGAAAAGAAATAAGAAAATGTCTTATTTGCAAAGACACGCACACAAACGCGTCACAAAGAGGTCTGAATTATCCAGAGCTTTTTGTCGCGGGAACCATGAGATCATAAACAGTGCCATATCTGCCTCATTTCTGCCAAACCTTTAAACAGCTCTCGAATATAAATTTCTCGGGGGATCTAAGCACGCGGTACATCGATGGATATACGCAATAATCGCAGGCGTGTGCAGACTAGGGAAAGAGCTTGAAAACTGATTTCACGATTAATTTTTTATTTCGAGACAAAAAAAAAAAGAGACGAGACGAGCGTATAATAAAACTCCGCTTCAGAAAACGTAGCCGGCGAGTCTAATTTTTCGCGAATGCAAGAAAGAGCGAGCGAGAGAGAGAGAGAGAGAGAAATTGAGTGCGAGGAGGTATAAAACAGCTCGAGTATGCGCGCGCGCCTTACTTGCCCGTCGCCTATATAGAGCTGCGAGTCCAGTCGAAAATAAGAGCCGCATTGCAGTTCTGTCTCTCTTTCCCTCTCTCTCTCTCTATGATGGGCACATGGTGTACGAATCTCGTTCGCATCTCGCTCATATATGTATACAAGTGAGTTAGGTGCACCGACGACGACCTCTGCTGCACCCCGCCTCCGCGAGTATACGTGTACTTGATCAACGACGACTTATGCAAAGCGCTTAATTTTAAGTACTTTAATTAGAGAGCCTAGCACGAACGCGCGAGAGAGAAGAGCTGAAAATCTGCACACGCCGCTTGAAATATTCATGCCGTGCATGAGTTCCTCGTTTATGCATTGCTACCTACTACACAAGAGCTCGCAATATAGTCGTACCCATTCATCTGTATGTATTTTATTAACTCTTATCGATTTATGTTGATCAAATGCGGATGTATTTGATGGAACATTGTCTTAGATAATATATTCGATAATATAATGTTTGTGCCGCTATATATGAATGTCTGGCCAGGCACGGATGGGGGGGACTTACCTCGCCCTCGGCTCTTTTTTTCTCAAGTTCTTTGAGTTTGGCAAGTTCCTCGGCGATGCGAGTCTCGATTGCTGCTAGTGATTCCCGCGTGAACGGACGGAACAAACTTCGTTCTTCCTCTGTTATAGAAGAAGAAACTTGGGACATTGTCTAGGCTGCACACAATTAAGCAACCTTCTTGCGCTGAAAAAGATTTTTTTTTTGGTCAATATCATTCGTTAATCGTATAAATAAAAAAATAATTACCTTGCCTATTGGTGCTAACAGTTTCTTGAACGCCTCGTCGATGTGCTACTGCTCCTCGGGGATGAGAGTCCGGTGAGTAGCCGCAGCTCAACAAGCTCGCGGTTTCCTGCTGCTGCTGCTGCTGCTGTACTGCTCCTCCTGACGCGGGTCCTGCACTTGTGCCTCTGCTTGCGGCCCGCGGGCCCTGTACTTCGCTTCCTGCAGCGAGAAGACGACGACGACGTAGCAATTTTCCCTGTTATAACTTGCGTCGTCGCAGCAGCAGCGGCCGTTGTCGAGTAAATAAACGAGGAAGTCGATGGTGACGACGATGACAATGACGTCGTCGCCGCGGACGTTGACAGCGGCGTCGGCGGCGGCGGCGACTGATCGATGAGGATGATGGACGACGACGATACTCTTGCTCCGGACGATGATGAATTATTGTTATAATACAACAGCGCTGAGGCAGTGCCTGGTACAGTGGGGCCCGTCGTACAGCTCGAACCAAACTTTTTCATGACCGACCTGCTGTAAATATAGAGATGGGCACACGACATATATTTCAATCGTTCTTCACTATCTGTTCGGAATAGTCGCGACTTATGAATACTTTTGTACTGTTAATATGGCTGGTCATTACTTACGTATGCATGAAGCGACGGTTACAATCAATCTGATATCGTTATTATCATAGTATGCTCCACGAGTCAGTCAAAGAACCGTTTTGTATCTGAAACAGAAGGAAATCAAGATTTAGGCTAATCATTGAATTGCAACATTTTGCGAAATACAAGCAATTTTCAGTCTTCATATTGGTAGTTAAAAATTCTATTGAAATTCAAGGTCATTTCTGCAACCTATGATAAACAAGGCGATCCTCGTGTAAGTTGGCAACATTTTTTGGGGGATTCAATTTGCAGAGAATATGCCATATATCATCATTTCAATACGATGACTCGGCGACGATCCATGCGAAACTTATAAACCTTTTCATCTTTTTGACAAGTTGTATTGTATGGTACATCTCATAAGTTATCATAAGGTCGAGGGTTGTTACATGTTCATAGACAATAATCATAGCTGCATTAAAAACCGATCACAGCGTGACATTTAGCAATCGTAATAGTTTCCTTTCTTACAGTGAAACTTATTTAGGTGCGATGGTTACACGCAAGGTTAACCGTAAAAACCGAGGCAGCGTGACAAACGTAGGTATTTCGTCCGACAGCAGCGTCTAGTTGTTTTAGATCTTCTCGCTCGCTCGACGTTCATGCCTCTGCAACGTCTATCTGTGTCGTCGTGTAACTTTGTCTCTCTCACGCTATAGCATTGCCTCGTTTACTAGTTCGTGCGGTTCGCTTGGTCGAACGAGACACATCATTGTGCCGAGTGATTCATTCTTGCTAGCTATATAGCACACGTTATTAAACGACGTCTTGCAGCAGCACAAACAACGAAAGATCGCGTCGACTGCAGCAAGTGATTCTCGCGAAATAAGTAAAAAAATACCTCAAATTATTATAAATAATTGTGTGTGGTGTGTGTGAGTGCGCTAAAAAAATGTCCACATCCGACGATTTAAACCAAGATAACATAGTTCTCTTGAAGGCTATGCGAGGAAAGGTTAGTTGGGAGATCGAAGAGCAGCGTCGAGAATTTCTCCGCCAATTTTACGACTTGATCAACGATTGGAAGGGCCAACTTCCGCATCTCCGAGACATGTTTCATAAGGAAGAAATAGATTGGCTTCTCATAGAGGACGTGCAAAGTAAAGAAAATTCCCTCATCAAGTTTGTGGTCAAGACCGGCTACACAGACGAGCCCAACGTAGATGAAAACGGCAAGCCACTGTTGCGTTGCACCACAGCACTGCACACCTCAAACAGGTACTAGTCGATGAACTGTTTCAAATATACAACAGATTCGACGTGAATTACACCAACGAACGAGGCATTGCTCATTTTCACGTGGCCTGCGTGTACAACCGTGTAAACGTCATCGAGAAATTCCTCGAGCTCGACCAGGATCCCAACTGCCCCGTGCCGCAGACGGGAGATTCGCCGCTTCACTTGGTTCTGAGGAACGGACGGGACGATGTGGCTAAATTGCTGCTGAATAACGGCGCGAACCCGAATTCCACCAACAATAGCGGATCGACACCTTTACACAGGATTTGTCAGAGAGAAGAAGACGATGGCTTAGCTGAAATATTCTTCGGTATCTGCGACGAATTGAATCAGCGGGTCCAGGTCGACGTTCGTGACAAGAACAACCGAACACCGTTGGAATGGGCCGTAGCGAGATTGTTGCCCGATACCGTCGATGTACTCTTGGATCGCGGCGCTGATCTGTCCAGCTTCGTTTTTCCCACCAAGAGTCACTTTACCAAAAAATTGAAACCAGAATTTTGGGATGATCATCTCAAAATAAGTGTAGTGCCTTGCGCCCTGGACGTCGTCGAACGTCTCGAAAAAAGAGGATACCAGCTGAACTCAAGAAACGCCCTGATGATCATGAACATATTTGCTCATAATGTCAAATTGTTCCAGAAGTCGAGGGATCTTGACGAAAATTGGTACGACGAAGAGGATTTCAAGAGCAGAGCTAAAGAGACAATGATCACTCCTAGTCTATCGCTCTACGATCTGATTCGTTTAAGACCCAAAGAGGCTGAAAAAGCCGTGAAATATTCGGACTACTTCGCGTTCCAGAGGTCAGATAAATGGTGGTATTTTTCCATTGGGGATTATGAGGCTTTTGCGAATCATCTGGGTGAGATAATGTCGAGACGATTTTTCCGTCGCTGGGCATTGGAATATTTCATGGAGTTGACAAGCAACCGATTACCGATTCTTTGCTGTGAAAAGATCATCGATGAATCATTCGTGAATATAGATTTGTGGAGATTTTGCGAGGCGACTGTACCACCCAAAGCTCATGGCTGTGACAATTAGCAAATTTGTATTATTTCTTAATGTCTATAGTCTTATTCAATGTTTCATATTTTCCATATTATTCAAATAAATAAACTTGATATAAAATTGAATGTATTTATTTGCTTCGTTTTTAATTTTTTCTGTGTTTCAATTTTATTTTAGCTTTATTTTAAAAAAAAATCATGAAGTTTTATATCTCGCAATAACATCTACAATAAAAAGGTTTCACTTCAAAAATCCTTTTTCGAAAAAATGACGCAAAGCCATGTTTCATTCGCTAATGAGCGTATTAAACTGATTTTTCACGTCAAACGCTGATACACACCCTGTGAAAACCAAGTCTATAATCCTGAAAATGTACATCACTCGATTTTTCGATTTTACCATATCATTAAAAGATTTATTCATAAATCCTGAAGCGAGTCGAGATGATGGTTCAAAGCTAAGAAGCGAAAAATCGTAAAGCCTCGTTTATTGAGCCATTCATCGCTTGCAACGCTCGAGAGAAATAGTCTCGATCGATAATTCTTGGGTTCAAACTCGACTCGAGCCGCACACTCGGACGTGTACTACCTATATATAACGCTAAATCGAGTTGTCGCTTTGACACACATTACACAGAACATAGGGCTATCCAGAGCCGCTCGAGGCGACGTAGCAACAGCAGCAGTAGCAAAGATATTGGCTGCACCTTTCAACGCGGGGGTGCATAATGTTATTACGATGATTATCAAAAGACCGAGAGACAAATTTCCATTCAAAAGAATAAAACGGGGTAAAAAGGAAACAGATTATCTCTCTCTCTTTCTGTGTTGCGTCCTTTGGCTTTTTCTGCTAAAGTCACGATGTAGCGCTCAATGCAAGCAAACAAAGACGTCAACAATATTTTCATTCAATTACGCTCGCGTATACGAAAATGTCTTTTTACGTAGTAAGAGCAGAGAGCGTGCACCCGCACGAACTCGGATGGGCTTTTAAATATTCGATTGATTCGATTTTGTACACTGCAGCACGTGTGCATGCATACGTTATTCGCCGTGACGCGTTACACCTATATGGACAGAGCGAGCGAGCAGTGCAGATACAGTAGTCGCTGCGCCGCTAATAATAACAGCGGAACTAAAATTATAATGCTCGATCGATAGCTGCTCAACGACGAATCGAGCTGCTATATTATATTATACTACTAGCTCAGCTGCAGCTCGCGCGCGCCATGGATCGGCGGACTCGTTTGCGGCTCGCGTACATATAATATGCACAAAGTGTGTACGTGAAACACGTATAGCTGCGGGCATGTATGTGTGTGTGTGTGTGTGTGATTTTCACCGCTACACACCCTCGCACACGTGTGTCTCGCAAATGTCATTTACCCGTTTTCATATAATATCTCGCTCGCGCGCGCACAGGGCATAACTCACGTTCGATCGCGGATCGATCTTTATTAGTGCTGCGCAGTGTGCAGCAGCTGACGGTCGCCGCCTCGTTTTAGCCCATATTTACTCGGTAACTTAAAGCCCAGAGAGAGCCAGGAGACTTGCTTATACTTCTCGGTAAACAGAACCTTTTGAATTAGCTCGGATGTGGGTCACGCGCGCTACGTGGCATATATATTCTTTCTCTACTACTCCCACATGCATATAATGCTACGACACGCAGGGCGCGCTATGGTCATCGTTTTATGGAATTGCAGCCCGGGCATCATGTATATATATCGGACGACAATGCAGAAACGTCGCTTGCAAATGTACGCACCCACGCGTAGCAGCATATATAAGGCGGGTGCGTCGAGTACTGCGCGCATCTTTCAATGTATAATGTGAAAACAACGTCAAAGGATAGAGAGGGAGAGAGAGAGAAAGAGAGCTTGCAGCAACATTGTTCATTTTTAAATAATTCAATTGCCATTTTTAGTATTACCGCTATATAAAGTCGGCGCGTGCATTTTCTCCTTTTTAAATAAAACGCGCGAGTAAATATAGCAGTATAAACGAGCGGCATCGCTGCAGTGGTGCTGCGCGTTCCATGACGCTTCCTCCTCTCGTGACGCAAGTTAATTTTTATCAAGGAGATAGCGAAGCTAAAAATGAAAATTTATAAAGCTCGAGTGAACGTCTTCATTTCGTTGTTTTGTATGTATATTCCAATGTATAACTATTAAGAATAAAACTGCGAAGTTGAAGGCTTCGAATTTTTCAAATTTTTGCGTTGTATATATGTGTTATTTCCTCACTTAAAATAATGATGGACCTGAAAGTGAAGCCAATCTATTCGGCCTGTGATTGGTCGAGTTACTTATGCCTCGAGACGAAATGCAATAAAGTGACACCTACGGTCAAAATAGTAACTTTCTTAAAACCGTACTGAAAAATTTATGCACGCGAAGCGCGCCTGAAAGTTGCTAGTATTAATATAAGAAACTATATAAATATATCTCGAGTCAATAATAAGCCCAATCGAACATGAAAAAAGCTGAGATTTTCGAGCTAATCAATTCTCGATTGTAAAATTTTATCTCAAAGCCATGGATTAGAATCAGCTTCCAAACGCGACAACAAAAGGCTGCTATAATAGGACAAAAAAGGATACATGGCCCGCTCGCGCGACAATTCCAGGCGACTATGTGTGTTGTAACGTTTATAAGAGTATTAGGAAACGACCTTCATCTTTTCTCTCTTGCTCTGCTGCTGCTGCTGCTGCTGCTACTCGGCTGGCACAGCACAAAGCTGCGTGCCAAATGTCAAATCGATATTTCAAACGGCTTCGCCGTCGTAGCCGTCGCCGTTGTCGGTTCTATTATGCACAAATTTTCGAGCGTATTAGTACACGCGCACGCGGAGGCGTGTTTATATCCGAGATATACTTTGTATTACACGCGTTAATGTTTCTATTTCGAAGTTACTCCTGCATACCGATTAATAATTGGCAAATTTGCGGGAATATTACCGTAAACAACGCGTGCTCCAGCACAAAGCCGGCGCTGGATCTACTGTGTTGTTTTCCTTTTTTTTACCCCTTTTTTTAGGGGAAAATTCACGCTCGTTTATTTTTCATCGACGAGCACGCGCGCGCGCCGCACGAAGCTGCGCTTTTTTATGTCCACATGCACACGAACAAACACACACACACACACACACACGTGTAACTGAGAAACCTATAAAAGAGCAGTTTACACGTACTCGCGACGCGTTATAAGAGTTTCACGACGTAGACGACAAAAGGGCTGCTGCTGTTGCTCTAGCTGCTAGCGAAAAACACACAAATGAAATTTTTTTTCTCTACCTGCACACCTGTACAAAGAGAAAAAAAGGAGAGGATGTAAGGGTGATAAAAAGCTCGCACCTCGATACGAGCAACGAATGCTTTTATTATACCGAAAAAAGAAGCTGGGGCCATGCTTTCCTTGCAAGATGAGAGAGAGATACTTTGCAGCGTTATAAGCCGTGTTAGTGCGACTTATACCGGCTCATCGCGAATCAGGCCGGCCGTGAGGAGTATAGTAGTATAGAGAGGTATATATGTACGACGAGGCGCAGGTTTATATAACGTGTGTGGGTTGATGTGAGAGTGAGTGGACATCTGTGCTGCTGTGTGTGTGTGTGTGATACTAACGTGTGGTGGCTATATCGGATCCGCCGCGCTGCGGACAAAGGCACAGGCCAGGTAGTCATGGCAACGAATGCGCTATGCTGCCGTGTGTACCTATATACTGCATGGTATGCTGCGCGCACGAACCTCCGCTCGTATTATAATATACATATGTGTGGGCAAAACTATAACTTGGGCTATTCGACAAGTCTGATGGTTTTATATATCTAATACCGACGTAACGTAACGAAACGTAATACATCGTCGATTCGACAAAGTTTGAGTAGTCCGAGAATCAGGCGAGGGTTGCTGGGAAGATTGGAAAACACTTGCAAATTGCGTTCATTAGCAAAAAAAAAAAAGTAGAAAAGAAAAGAAAGAAGCGAGAGAGAAAAACTTCTGGAATTCTGATATCGAAGCGTTGGCGAGAGAGTCTTGATAGGTATCTTGAACCTGAACGTATACGTGTCCTACTTTCTTCAAATTTTCTTACAAAGCAAGGCCAGCTCACGCTGTGTCTTTGTATGCATGCGTGCGTGTGGGTGTGTGCTCGCGTCGCTTGTTTTATTTTTGAAAAGCTGAATTTGAACTTTCTGGCATCGTTGGCCGTCGTCGTCGTCGTCGTCTTTTCTCGCAGATCGCGTAGATAGAGCGAGGAGCGCAGCTTGATTTACTCATACTCGTACGTACGTGCATATTCACAAACATGTATATTGTATACATACGTTGATGCGAGAAAAAGAGAGAGAGAGAGAGACAAAAAAGAAGCGACTACTGTGACGACGAAGGCGACGTACGCTTGTCGCTCGTTGAGCAGAAAAAAGCTTTTAAAATAAATTATCCGCGCGCACAAACACACACATACGCCGAAGCGCCGTCGCCGCCGCCGATCGATCGATGAGCAGCAGCAGCTCACACGCAGTGTAGCGCAGCAGCAGTTAGGCGATCGTTAAATATATCCGTCCATATAGGATAGAGCTGATATCAAAGAGCTAATCGCTGCTGTTGTTACTGTGCACAAATGACAAAAAGTGTCGCTGCATGCGACAATTTTATTACAAACTGTCAATCGACGTATGTACACAAGCTTAACACGTGGAGGCTATTTGATTCGATTCTTGCGCCGATGTACGCCTCTATAATATTGGATTTACATGGGGCAGCTATAGGCCGATCGCAGGAAATAGTTTTAACGATAAATACGCTTAAGCTCGTTATCTTTTAACTAGTGAATTCTATAGGTACACGTGCAGCTCGAGCGAAGTGAAACTTTTTTAAAAGAACTGGTTATGGGTAAGCTTATAAAATTGTGATTTGTGGCTCAGGAAGATGTTATATTATTTACTTTGATCGTGCGGAAAACAGAGCTCAAGTGGTATTTATATAATATTTGCTTGGCGGATGCAGGCCAAAGCTCACGATAACAATACAGCTGTATATTTTTCAATTTCACATATTTTCTATGTAATTTGTGTAAATAAAATTGAAAACAAAAGTTGATTCAATAAATTGTTTGAATTTTAATTTTATTTTGGTTGCTGTTCCTTCCACGCCATTAAAGATAACACGGAATACGACGAATACATCGTATAGCTCGATATGTCTTTCATTCAATTACAAATTCAAATGATTTCTCGTGAAAAGGGACATTATACAGAATATATCAAAGTTGCGCTAGCTCGGATGGACAGACGGACGGACGCTCGTTTTTCACGGGTTTACCCCTCCGGCCAAACTCCGATAAAGACGTTTCACATCAAAAATTGCTCCCCGTACACCACACAGTTTCCGGTCAGTTGCGCGATGCGTATATAAATTCCGAGCATTATAAGTTTGAGACACAGCGCGGCAGTTCTGAGAATTTTCGGGGGACGTTATATATAGCACACCGACTCCCACGCGCCAAATTATACATATATAGGTATAGGTAGTTCATGCATGCTGCACTCGGATAAACGGTCACCGCGTCCAGTGCAACGTATCATTCACGAGTGCTGCACCAGTAGTATAAAGTGCCACATATGCATATGCGCGAGCGGGTCAGAAGTCTGCAGCAGTTTAGCGTATACGTACCACGTCACGTGCATCGGGCAGAATATTTTTATGCAGCGGACGTGCCGATTGATTTATCGAGCAGCCCCGTGTACCGCGCGCGCGATCGACGTTTCGTAGAATTAAACATTGGCAATTGAATGTAAATAACTGCGGCTCCGATCGCGGACCGTCACGCGTCGATGTGTCCTTATACGATGTACGATAATAAATTAAGATTGAAAAATATGAACATTATAGTGCATGTTTTGCAAATAAACGTTGAAAGTATAATAAAATCATGACTCGGGTCAAAGGTCTCCGAGTTTACTCATGCGGATGGATTGTGCAGCGTACGATCTGTGTACGAGTATACGTTGCGTTTAACTGCAGTGGTGTACAAGGGGGAAAGGACTGGAGTCGATCCAGAGAGCAAAAAACGAGGACGCGCACGAGAAATAAGGGGATATATCGTGTACACGAGCGAGAGAGAAAAAGAGAGAGGAGAATTGACGAAAAAGAAAAATGAAGCGAAAATACGAGCTCGACTGCGAGAGAGACAAATTCGATCGCCGCTTGTATTTGGAATACTTTCGGTTATTTTATTTTACAAGGGGGCTTTTCCATCAAGCTTCTCGCAACGTAGAATTATTTGAAAAACTGTTTTCATTCCCTAATGATAAATTCGTTAACGAGAAAATTATAATTGTTCATTAGAGTGATCGATAATAATCATATTATGTATTACTGTTTACTTTTGTCAATCTGTTACGTGACTTGTAAATATAATTAAATCTGAGTTAGATAGCCAGATGTATTGTAACATTAATTAAATACAGAAGAATCAGTCGCTAACGAATTTCTAAGCGAGCAAGATGAAACCAAGTGAAAAGTTCAACTATGGTGTCAGGTAGTTTTTATTTTATTTGAATCACATTATAAAAATTTTATAACATAATATTCAATCGTGTTTTAAATATTTCAGAATAAAAAGTGAACCCGTTGATGTGTCATTTACTGATAATGAGTACGATATCATTGACACGGCACTCGACGTTAAAGATTTTCAATTCCTCAAATGTCCGCAGGAAAATCCTGTAAGTTCTGAAAATTATTGAATGATATTATATAAGGTAAACATTCGTTTACAAAAAGTTCACGTGGCTTATATTTTATTCAGGAACATATGCTTCCAAAATCCGACGAAAATCATAAAGGTGAACTAGACGAGATAGCAGTCGAGTTTGAATGTCAATATATGAAGCTCAACGTGGATTTATTAGCAGTTGCGAAAATTGAAAATTGGTCTCAAAGTCACTCCCCGGCTATGAAAAATAGTAACGATTATCAAACTCAAGACAATATTAAAATAGAAACTTTGGGAGCAGTAAAAAAAGAATCATTTGTGGACGACGAAAAACAATTGAATATTGATTTCGACTGTGGTCTCAGCAAGCCAAGTGAGGAAAACAGTGTCACAAAAGAGTTGATCGATGACCATAGACTCGAAACGCAAACCATAACGACGCGTAGTAGTACTGACATTGCATGCGAGATATGCAGTAAAAAATTCTCAAGGAAATATTGTCTCAAAAGTCACATCGTTTCGGTGCATCATAAAGTCACTCATGCATGTAATATATGCGGTAAGACATTTTCAACAAAGGATTATCTAAAAAACCATACCATCGCGGTGCACAAGGGTGTCCCAAATGTTTGTGATACACGCGGAAAGTCATTTGCTGCTAAAAGCTGTCTCAAAGTTCACATCGATTCGGTGCATCACAAAATCACTCACGCATGTGATATATGCGGAAAGTCATTTACCCAGAAAGGTAGTCTGAAAACCCACATCGTTGCGGTGCATAAAGAAATCAAACATACATGTGATTTGTGCGGAAAGATGTATACTCGAAAGGTTTTTTCTCAAAAGACATGTAAAATCTTCCCATGAGGGTATCAACTACGCATGTGATATATACGGAAAATCATTTACACAAAAAAATAATCTCAAACTTCACATCAGGGTGAAGCATGAAGGTATTACTTGCGGATGCAATGTATGCGGAAAGATGTATAATGATAAGAGTGGTCTCAAAAGGCATGTAAGATCCTCCCATAAAAGTGTCCCCAACACTTGTGATCAATGTGGCAAATTGTTTTCACAAAAAAGTAATCTAAAAGCCCATATCGTTATGGCGCATCATTAACGCATTATGGTCTGATTAACGTATACAATTTATATGTTCAATTGTATTAAAAAAACCCGAGGCGTGATCTAGTATATTTACTCAGAAGACTACTTTAAGCATTTTCATTTATCATGATATTGCGAATTTTTCTTATGTTATGTTATCTCAATATGTAAAATCAAAGTCCAAGTTTAAAAAAAAAATCAATAAATTTTTTGTAGAAAAAAAACTGCACCGTATTACTCTATTCAATTTTTTAAAATTTAAATAATATAAAATCGTGCGAAGCCTATTTTCAGGATTACACTTGATTTTTTGACGGATCAGTTTAACTCGCTCTCTCGTGGAAAAACGGCTTCGCAAGAAGAGAGAATTTCATTCTTATTTTTTTCACGCAGCTCGTCGAAGTATCCATGCAACGGAGTTTCTATAGATTTTCTTCGCATAACGTCGGAGCGTCGACGGTCATATCGCAGTGGGGTAAGTACGCGGGATGTATGTATTCGAGCGAGCTGCCGCAACTCGACATCTTACATAATTCCCCGGGATACAGATATAATACGTAACGTAATGCACAGTTCGACGAAAATTGATGAATCTCGTGCAGCATGTAGTTTTATTATTTGTATTGGTTGTATGTGCGTACAAATCGTAAACGTTGCATTATATTGCGGCGTTCCCATATCGACGTCCGACCCATTTTCTTTTTGCCCGGGATATATATTATGTCTGACGAATAGCTCAACGAGTTCGTTTTCTCTCTATTCCTTTTTTGTTTCCCTCGTATTCATAGCAGTATCTCGATGGATTTAGACTCGAGCCCAGATGCGCGTACATACTTTATATACATAATAATACCGAATCCTTTTTCATGTATCGAGGTTAACGAGTCTCAATTATATTTCGCTGTATGAGAACGTACATTTGGAAATGCTATACAATGTAACGCTGAGAACACTACGAACGAAGCAATTTCTAAATAAAATACTCCAAGGCGCTCCAAAAAAACATAATCGAACAATAATACAAAGAGATAAGACAGCACAGATAGCGTAGAAACGGTGATTTTGCGGTGAAAGTAGAGTAAAAGAAAGCATCTAGCTCTGTATAGACAGCATAATTGTATCCACAAGATTTAATTTGAATAAACGATAAACAATAATAAAAATTAACATGACTAGTGAGTATAATTTGTACAGCTGATAATTTAATTAATTAATTTTTTTCAATAATAATAAAACCCTTTTAAAATCGATGAGCAGCGATATATTAGAAGAGTTGCAGGTTGTGAAAATTCTTCATAATTTTTGTAAATAAAACTGAAATTAAATTATATAAAATAAAAATCAAAATCCGAACGAATAAACAAGTTAAGTTTCTTTCAAATTCATTTATTAACATGATTTTGAGTTCATTTTTTTTCAAATGTGTTCGTAGAAAATCTGCTGGACGATCTGTGTATAAGAGCCACAGATCCGAGCTAAGTGTAGCGGCAAATCACCTGATATTGTCACTCCCTTATCCATCGTGCGTAAATAAGTTTCACGAAAAAAAAAAAAAATGACGACGCATAGATACGTCGGTACATCCGGTCGCACACATGAAACGCTAATCGCGCGGGCATCACAAACGTATACGGCAATCAGCATCAGCAGCAGCATAAAAGAGACTCTACTAACCGGGTTAATGCAGCGCGAACGAAGGGGTGGCCACGCAGTACGGAGCTGTAGCCACCGTCGTCGTCGCTGCGCAGCAGTACCACCAGTGCACATACATAGTAGCAGTACACCCACGACACACATACACACACACACACGCGCTCGCGCAATCATGTGGCGCAGAGCCGCCCGTGCAGTGCAGGGCGTGCTGCATGAAGCGCAAGCACACAGCCCAAGGTTCAAGGACGGCCTTTCCCGCCGCTGCCACCACCGCCGACGCCTGCCTGCTCTGTATATGCGCGCAGAAACTACATGCACACCCACACACACACACTTGCACGCGACTAGCACGGTAGTATTGTAATGGTGAAAATGTATGTATACGCTGAAATAAGTTGATCGATATCGCTCGAGCTAGCTTTTGCGGTCATAGCTAAAATATCTCGAGCTCTCTTTCCGCGCCAAGCTTCCCCACGAGCTTTTATTACACACACCCACACCCACAAATACTATATACGTAAACGAGCATGAACTGCTGCGTGCGCTCGGTGCTCGAGTATGCATGAAAAAAAAGCGTTACACGTTCTTGGGATACTGAGGCTTGAACTCGTTTTTTTTTATTTCGCGCCGCGCACGTGCGCGCGACAAATAATAAATGCCGCATCTATCTGATCTTCCGAGCTTTTTCGTACATTGGACTACTGCCATAGTCTCTCCTTCTTTCTGGGCGGCGGGTAATAGACATCAAAAATCACTTTGTATATTGCGAGATGCGGCAATTAGTAATATTACAAATTCACTGCTTTCCATTGAGTATTGTGAGTTAAAATTTATCGACATTCATGTACAAAGTATAATATCAGAAAAATAAAAAGTCGTATACCGAAGAATCTCGATTCTCGATGCGTGTGGAAGAAATTTTCGAACACGCAGAGACTACGACTCGTAAAATTACCATTACAATCGTAAAAGTTAGTCTCGGGCTAATCATGCGGCTTCACCGAGGGCCGGAGTAGGAGGTATATCGAGAGAGAGAAAAAAAACTGCGCACTACAGCTAGCTCGACGACCATCATTACATACGCCATGCTATATTGTATGTCCACACGCTCTCTGCTCGGCTAGCGCAGCTCAGTAGTCGGGAGAAAAGCTCGTCGTCGTGGAACGTTTTTTTTCCTTCCCACTTTATTGCCAGTCATAAAAGTGCAGAGCCAGACCACCACGAGTTAGAGAGAGACAATATATATCGTGAGAGCTGAGAAAGAGAAAGACACGTTATAGCAGTTCGATGCGTCGTGCGTGGTCGAGGCATTTATTATCGGCTCACGCGCGAAACTTTTAATAGACTTAATTATTGACGACGACGGCGACGACGACGACAACGACAACGAGATAAAGTGCGTATAGAAACTTTTTCTATGGGCGACAATAAATGTATCCAATAAAGAAGAGTAAGTATATTGCGGTGTACCGGCTATCAATGGATTTCGGATTCGAGTCGAACGAACAAATGTGCTTTTATACATTTTGATTTTTACCTTCAATTATGTACAATGGCCCGCAATTTATTGAATCGATGATTTTTCGAATGCAGTAGTGAACAAGTTTTAACAAAACGGATGAAATAAATAAATCTCGCAAGAAATATAAAATTCAATGCTTCTTTATAACAAGGAAAAACCGAGAAAAAAACAATCATTTTTATGAATGAATTATGCCCGTGTATTAATTGAGACGATGCTCGGGCGACGATACGTTTGCCAACGCGCTCGATTGAAATGAAGCCGTTTAAGTAATCCGCGTGTTTGCGAATCGGACTACATATGTGTGGGGCAGACCTCTTACATATATTGCGCCCACACTTGGAGGAACGGCGAATTAGTAGTAGAACTCGGTGTTCAATCAGACCTACTACATGTGTACATTGTGCATACGCGGCCAAGCTCTTGGCAGCAATTGCCACGATGTGTATATAATGTATTTATAAAATACACGTAATATTTAGGTCTCAAAGTTCACGAGTGAATATACATTTTTGATGATTTTCATACGAAGGTAATGCCAATTGTGCAACTATACTACTACGACGACGACACCATAAGATTTCCGAGCAATAAAACGAAAACAAGGGCACGTGCGCGTGTTGGGGCTAGCAATAGCCAGCAGTGGTAGTGGTGGTGGTAGGCAATCGACTCTAGCCTTTCCTACCCCATTACGGGCATGAGTGTCACGCACGCCGGGCTGCGCTGCGCTACTACCCTGCGTCTATGTGTATGTGCATTATAAGCCCTATATGCTGCTGCTGCCGCTCTTACCTGCTACATAATAGCAATAATAATAGTAATAGCCCAAGTGGCTCGGAGAAAGAGAGAAAGAGAGAAACCAGGTTGCCTTTATAAATGCACACGTAGCATACACACGCCACACACTCGTATGCACAGTGCCAAAATCGATACTTTATCCACACACACACACACGTGTACGTACGTGTCCATGTATAATTCTAGAAAAGTAAATTTGCTGCTACTGCTGTTTTTCTATTTCTTTCTACTACAATACGATATAATATATATTCGACGATATTTAATGCGCTTGACTTAACTGTTACGAACGAATTCGAAAGTTAAGCTCGCGCGCACACTAGAAAATGAATAATATCCATTTCCGTTAAACGCGTCGATAAATAATGAGCGATTGCAGCGGCGGGCAGTCTTATATTATGATGTACACGCAAGCGAATGCGTGCGTAAATATTAATCGGAAGATCGAAGTTGCGTGTGTACGCTCAAACATGCATATGCATAAATTTGGAAGCACTGCAACTCGCATATATATGCAGTTGCGAGAGCAACAACGTACGCCGAGCAAATATTTGCCACTCCCTTGATCCTCGGACTTTACGATATCGCTGCAATTATACACAAGTTACGATAGCTTTGGTATTATCTTTTCGACTCTCGAAGCGAGACAGAGAGAGAGAGAGAGACATTTCTGTGTGTGTATCTAAGAAACTTTTGCTCGATTTCGAATGACCCTGCCGTGCATACGAATATAAACGTATAAGATTTGGACGACGCTGGCTGGCGCGTATTAAAGCTTTTCCACGCGGTGCGCACGATAAATTCGACGTGTGCTGCTGCAGCACAAATCCCCTTCTATAACGCGCGTGCGGACGATATCATCCCATCGCGATCCGCGGCCACACAATACATATATAGGAGCAGCAGGAGGAGGACGTATTATATACGTATGTGCATGTGGGTGTGTGCGCTATTATATATCTATGTTATAGGAGTGGGCAGATAAAGCGCGGAAAATGGCATCGCGCCTCTCTCTCAATGGCTTATGACAACGAAACGTATATAATAACGACGTTCGACAGAGAGAGAGAGAGAGAGAGAGAGAGAGAGGGCGAGTCGAGCTCTCGGATATAATGGGATTGCCGTTGCTGCTGCTGTCGCTGCTGCCAC